CTGCCCTCTGGTGCCGGAGGTGGAGTGGAGTGGGCCTGGATCCGAGGGATGCTACCTCTCCCACTTGAGGACCCTAGGGAGAGATGGGGGTGGGGAAAATGGAGGTGTGAATTTGTGGTAAGAGGAAGTGAGACCTCAGCCTGGGTTAGCCCCTGCTAAGCAGGGTGTTTGGGCTTGATCCAGGCCCTGTGAGATAGAGGGCCCAGCCTGGCCCCACCCACAGATCTCCTGCTCCCTGTTATGTTCTGTTGTAAATCATTTGGCAAGAGTGTATTTTAATAACTTCTGCCTAAGTTACCAGTGTTCTGTTTGAGAGGCGCCTGTCTGAATAAAGTTGTCTTGAAATTCCACAGTGGTCCTGTGCTTGCTTTGTGCTTCAGGGGAGCCCTTTCCTCACCAAGCCCTGCCCCAGGGGGAGAGAGGCCTCGAGCTGTGTGACTGCCACGTGCAAGGGTCTAAGTTATCCTGGCTGGCTCCTGTCTTCACCTCCTTTCTCTAGACCTTACTAGCAGGAATTGTATTTTCTTTTTTGCTGTTAACCAGATGAGGGAGCCCTGGAGTAGAAACCCTGTCATTTCTGATTCCATTGCCTGATCTTAGCTGCAACCAGGAGACTTCCATGGGAAAGCTGCCTCACAGCTGCAGAGCCAGGGGACAGGAGGTCCCATCCCCATCCCAATCCTGCTGTAGGCTTCCCGTCCCTCGCTGGTGACCCTGGGATCAATCTGAGACCACCCGGCATCCCACCAAGCACAGGTGGAAACTTGAGGAAAAGAGGAGGCTCCACAGGGTACCTGGAAGCTTCCTGCTTCCTGGAGGAGCAAAGCTGACCCATGCAGGTTGGGCAGATCATTTGAGGTCAGGAGTTCAAGACCAGCCTGACCAGCATGGTGAAACCCTGTCTCAACTAACACAAAAATTAGCTGGGCATGGTGGTGGGTACCTGTAATCTCAGCTACTTAGAAGGCTGAAGCAGGAGAATCACTTGAACCATGGAGGCAGAGGTTGCAGTGAGCCAAGATCGTGCCACTGCACTCCAGCCTGGGTGACAGGAAGACTCCCTCTCAAAAAAAATACAAAAGTGATGAATAAAATGTCTGTCAGTGGTGTCCCTTTTGCCTGTAGTGCTTGGCCCCGTACAGGGTGGCTCAGCCCTGTGTGTTGTGCCCTAAAACCTCATCAGAGCTGCTACCCTGATGGCATCTGCAGAAGGGCCTCAGGAATAATGTATGTGAGGGTGCACGATCCGCAGTGCCTGCAGCCTTCCTGGGGGAGGCCTGGCCTGGAAAGGCTCCTCTGATTACAGTTGATAGGAGCCCTAGATACCATGCTAGGGACAGACACTGCAGCAATCGTGGGCACTGGCCTAGATTCTTTGCACCTGGCTCTTGAGACCTGCCACCTGCCCACCTACACACCTGTCCAGGTGCAGACCATGGGGAGCAAGACGCTGACATCCAGGACCACTTGGCCGCGTGAAAGTGTTTAACCAGATGTTGAGGGTGGAGGAGGCAGCTGAGGGCTTTGGCTAGTCCTGGCGTATCCTTCAGGCTCCCCGCCCATAGTGGATAGGACTGAGAGTGTGTAGGGGCACTTGTCAGAAGCTACTTGGCCCCAAGATGCAGGTATATTTAGTGTCTGGAACTGTTTTAAAGCCTATCCTGTTTCAGGCAAATGCTGTGGCACTGTCACAAATGTACCCACTGCCTGGGACAGAGGTGTGGAGGGGAGCCAAGGGCGAGGCCATACTCTGAGCAGGTTGTCATAGAGACATGGTGCACTGGGGGCCCGGCAGGGGCCACGAGGGTGTGTCTGGGAGGGAGGAGGGCACTGAGGCTGAGAAGGGTCAGCATAGCACAGGCAGATGCAGTTGCTTTCCCAGGCTGGGCCTCAGCATGTGCCCTGCGGGGCCAGGCAATATAGGTGGTGGGTAGAGCCTGAGAACGGGAGAAACCTGGCAGGGGGTTAATCCTTACTCCGAGCTAAGGGTTTGCTCTTAGCTTGGGCTGGAGATGTAGAGGGAAGGCCTGAGGGGTAACTGTCTCCATACCCAGGACAAAGTCCCTAAGCCTGGCCTGGCTCACAGGCACGTAGCACCTGGCCAGTCTGGGCTGGCATCTGGCTTCCCTGTCTCCACCTCAGCTCTGTGTCCTGGATTCTGGGTTGTTTGGCCTCCGCTGGAGCTTCCTGGCCCCCATGGTGGCTGCCTACTGTATCACCTTGCACCTTGCCTGCATCTGGTGCCAAGGCTGATGTCCACACAGGCCTGCATGCCATCTGTCTGTGTAATCCACTGGGGTAGAGCCCGGCTCCGTGGTCACTGTGTGTCTTCAGTGTCCAGAATAGCCAATACAGGTAGCAGGGGCGAAGGGAGACAGCAGACAGCCAGAGGTCTTGGTCCTGGGACTCCTTCCTGCCCAGAGGCTGCCCCTGGCCTCATCTTTAGTGGCCACTGGGAGTGACTGTAGAGGTCAGGGAAATTGGGGGCTGGGAGCCAGTTTCAGTTCCAGCATCCAGGGTGGTCAGCCCTGGGCCCAGAAGACTTCAGAGGACCAGAGGAAGAGGTGGGGACAGCTGGCGGAGCTATGATCTATGACTAGTGCCCTACCCGGGGTGGGTTCACTAGAGGGGCTCAGGATTGCCGGGGCCAGTTCAGGGCTCCATAGCACTACCTTCCACTGGAGGAGGGGCCTAAGTAGGGTCTTGGCCAGGGACTAGGCTTGAGTCTGTATTTTAGCACGGGAGGTCGGCAGGATTCCAGCTAAAGCACCCAGCTGCACTTGAAGCAGTTTGTCCTGTTTTTCTTTTATTTGCAGTTTCCCGAGACAGAACAAAATAAGAATAATTTTTGTACACTTACAAGGCTCAGAAAGAAAAGACAATGAAACTCAGCAAAAAGAGAGGGGAGGGGAGGCCAGCCAGCACCGTGGGTAGCCGACCCCTGCAGCGCTGGCCAGCGGCTGCCACCACCACACCGCGGACACCTAGCTAGCAGAGCGGCGTGGCTTGCTCTTTAGGGGTCATGCAAAAGAATTATCCCCCAGAAAAAAAATCCCCAAATTATCCCAGACAGGCAGCTCCGTGGAGATGACAAGGTGAGAGGGAGAGGAGGGGAGGAGGCCCCAGGACGCCAGGGTGGCCGGCCGCTGGGCCACGCGCTGTCCGTGGTGAGCCCTGCCGCTGTCCTGTGGCCCAGGGAGCCACTGGTGCGGAGCCCGGCAGATGTTTACCCTGTGTTCGTGGATGGGGACAGCTGTCCTGGGCACAGCGTGGACGGAAGGTGGTGTCCACTCTGAGTGTTCATCGGTGGACAGTCCCCTTGGAGTTTAGGATCCTGTGTCCTGTTCCCCATTCTGTGCCCCTCCCTTGGCTCGATTTGTGGGGGAAGATAAAGAAAATCCTTGTTGAAAACGACGTGAATTGAAGGTGGGCAGGCACTGGGGCAGGAGCCCCTGACCCTCTGCAGTCAGGGCTCCTGACCGCTCCCACCCAACCTGGCTTCAGACCCACCCGCAGCCCCACCGTGCTCGGGCTTGCCCTGTCCCTGAGCCTCCCCATGGTACACACCATCACGAGGAGCCGGGGACCCACTGCCTCGAACCCAGGCAGCCGACGCTCAGGAGCACAAGGCTGGACCCCGCCCTCCATCCGCTGGTGTCCTGGGCCTGTGCCCATGTGTTTCTGTCCCCAGCCCACCTTATCTCCATGGCTACATCCCTGGCCTAACTTAGAAGGTGCCCTCACACGCACTGCAGCCCACCAAGGCGCTGGCACACCTGACACTGTGCGGGCAGCACTGCCCTCATGCCTCCCACGTGCACTGGGCTGGCTCCCACCGTAGCCTTTTCTCCCTTCTGCTCCCAGCCCAGATTCCAAAGGCACTCCCACTTCAGCAGACCCCTGCATGGACCCTCGTCATGGCCCAGGAGCCTGGCAGCCACCACCTCTGACCTCACTCTGCCACTTGCTGCACCACCTGACCAAACCCCAAGCCCCAGGCTCCCCCAGACTCCATTAGCAGGCAAATATGCCCAGACACAAAGCCTGGCCTCCCCTTCCAGCCTCAACTGGGGGCTCAGGAACTTGAGCGAAGCCAGCAGTCCTTGGTCAAAAGTCTGCTCCCACCTGCATGGGGGCTGGGCAGGGCGGGGTGGGGAAGAAGCCAAACAGGCCAGGGGGAGGACCAAGGGGTGGAAACAGGGCAGGGAGCTGCCAGTGCGTCTGCTGCTGGCCGGTAGAGAAGGGACAGATGCCTCACACACAGGAGGGACGCCAGCCCAGGCAGAGTCCTCTCGCCACAGCTGGCTGCATGGGAGCTGGAGCCAACAGCACTGTCTCTTGCCCGGCAAGAGGCCCGAAGCTAAACTGTGCCCCTCTTTGCACTGTATTCCTCCAGAAGGACCATAGCTGGAGCCCTGGGTCTGTGGGGGCATCTCTGATGGCCTTGGGGACGGGACTCCAGTCTCCTCAACACTCCAGGGGATGAGGGGCCAGCCTGGGCTCTGCCAAAGGGCTGTCTGTGCTGGGTGTGTGGGGATGCCGGGCTCGGAAAACCCACACCTAGCCCTTCAGGGGATGAAAGGAGGGGAAGGGAAAGCAGGAACAACAGCAACTCTCAGGCACAACTAGCGGGAAAGGAGGCAGCCCAGCGGGCCCCCACAGCCCCTCCCAAGAGACAGCTGACAGTCACGACAGCCAGCGAGCACACCACGTGGAGCCCATGCGTTGGCAGGAGGATGCAGACGCCTTAGGTGTGGGGTGTGTGCGTTACCTACAAACTAACACCGTTCAGCACGCGACGGGGGCCTGGCGGACAAGTTCGTGTCCCAACTGGTCCCCCAGAGGGCCAGGAGCACAGACGGACACACGTGGAGCTTGGGTGGGAAGCGGCCCCACGAATGCCAGTGATTTTTACAGCTTTTTCCTTCCTTTTGTTTTTTTTTTTTTTTTTTCATTTCATCTGATGTCAATTTTTTTGTGTGGTTATCGTCGTCATCTTGTTTTTTTTTGTTTTGTTTTTAAACAAATCACATCTGGTCTTGTTTTTCTGCAGACACAGGCACCAGGGGAGGGAACGAGGCAGACACAAACATGCGACAGGCAGGCCGTGTGCCCGAGGGCAGTCGGGCTCCAAACACCAACTCTGTCCGGCGAAACCAGGGCGCAGCTCTGAAACGGGGCGGGTGGGTCAGCTCTTCAGCAGCCCCTCTCCCGTCCACCCCCAGGCTCTGCTGTCTGCCACACGGCACCGCAGGGAGGGTTAAAGTTAACGTCCAGAAAAGGGCCCACTCAAGAGAGGGGTTCAAGGTGCCCAGCCCAATTACTACCATCCCTGTAAAACTGGGCTCTGGGCCCGCTGCACCCGCCACCTGGGAAAGTCTGTCTGGGGCTCTAACAGTCCTCACAAACAGGGCACAGTGCCCAGGAGTGCGCTCCCCGGGGCCCATCCACCTACAACCCACCCCGCTCTGGCCAGCGCCACGGCTCAGGCCCTCGTCAGCTCCTCAGTCCTCTGGGGAGGCCCGCCATACCCAGCCTGCTGTGGTCCCTCACATCATTCCCGTGGCCTCACTAGGAAAGCTCAGGGGCACCCCAGGCGTGGTCTCTGCCACAGGCCCCACTGCTCCCCATTGCCTCCCCGGGCTGCAGCCGCTCACACCACGGCCACCCCTCTGCCCCAGCTGTCACTTGGGCCAGGGCACTCACCTTCACTGCAGCGGGGCCACGGGCGCACCCGAGCAGTGGAAGTGCACATTCTGCCACTTGCCATCGCGGCGGTGCCACACGCGGGTCTCCTCAGACTGGCTGGTGCGGGGCCGGCCCTGCCCGTCGATGTACTGCGTGAGCCGGATGTAGGCGATGCAGGCGGTGTCCTCGCCGATGATGTGCACGTGCGGGTTCAGGATGGTCGTGTGGATCGGCTTGCTGTTCTTGGCCAGCACTAGAGACAGCAGTGCGGGGGTCTCAGGTGCTGTGGCTGCCTGGTGCCCACCTTCCACCCCACCAGCCCGACCCCTTCCCTCTTAACTCCCCTTACTGGGGAGGCTCGGCTCTCCTGGGAGCCGCATGGGCCCTCCAAGAGTGAGATTCTGGGGGCCAGGTATGGCCTCTGTGGGCGGGTAGGGGGGGCTGGCCAACCCTGGGCACAGAGGGGCAGGGCTTCCATAGGCAGCCACCAGGCTGCCCCTGGGAGGGGTCGAGGGGCTCTCCTCGGGGCACCGCCCCCTCATGCCCTCCTCGGCTCCCTCACTCACGGTTCTCGAAGTAAAATCTGTGGAAGTCCATCCCTTCAACCAGGTTGCCCAGAGCTTCAGGCTCAAACGAGGTCAGCCCTGGGTCACAGATTTTCCTGGGGGCCAAATCCAAGTGAGGAGGGGCCCTGTGGACCCCTGACTTGGAGCAGGCCCCCCACCCAGAGTCCCACAGCCTTGTCCTGCACATCCCCCCCCCCAGCCCCGGGGACTCACGCGTAGGCCTCAAAGTCACCGTTGTTGACGGCCTCGATGAGCTGCTCCGTGGTCTTGATGATCTCCTGCTTCCGGGCTGTGGGGAGACACGGTCAGGTGACCATGGGCGCTGGCCCGTTGCCCCCAGACCCCTCCACACAGCCCAGGGGAGGGCCTGGGGGAGCGCAAGCTGCAGCCACTCCGTGTTCCTGCCGCTCCTCACAGAAGAGATCCTCTCAGCCCTCTCCCCAGTGGCTTCCTCATTTCCAAGTGCAACAGCTTCCATCTTACTTAACTAAAATATTTGTGAATGACAGAAATGTTCTATCCACATTACAAAATGCCTGGAAAATGCAGAAAGACAGAAAAAAATCGCCCACAATTTACCCAGAGGTTGCCCTCCTGGCCCCACTCGCCATCCGCTGCAGTCTCCCTCCTGCCCACCTGTGGGCCGGCCACCGGGCCCACCAGACCTCGCCCCATGCTTCCCTGCAGCTTCCCGGCCCCACCCTCCTCCCGAGCCTTGGGCTCTTAGTGCTTCCTTCACCCAGCAGCTCTGATGAGGGGCTACTGAGTACAGGCACCAGGCGAGAAGGAGAGACCGGCCTTGAAGGAGCCATCAGTAAGGCCACGAGGAGGCCGAGAAGGAGGAAGCAGCAGGGGGCGGCCAGGCGCAGCGGGGGCTGCAGGGTTCCCCAGACCGATGACCAGGGGTGTCCCGGCAGCAGGAAGAGCAAGCTGGTCTCTTGTTCCCCACTTTCTCATAGGAGTTGCATCCTGCTGGCTCCACCTGCTATCCCTGCAGACACCCCCATTTCCTCGCACCCCCATACCCAGGCTTCTCCAGGGAGCCTGCCTGTGGCTCCTGCCCATTCCCCTCGGCTTCCAACAGGCCCAGCCAAGCTGGTCCTCACTGGCCTCCAGGGCGCTCACCCGCAGTCCGTGTTGCTGCTTTACCTACAATTTATTTTCATTGTAAAATATTTTAAACGTGTGGAAGATGCAGAAAGAACAATAGAACCTACATTCTACAGATTCAAATCTTAACATGTTCCTATTCAGTTTAGATGCATTTAAAAGAAATAAAGCACCACACCACACATACAGTTTGAAGATGCCTGTGTTCTCCTCAATCTTGCTTCATTCACTCTCTTCAGACAGATCTATCGTCTTGAGTGAGGTCCCCAGCCATTTCTGCGAGGATATATATGCAGGCAAGCACACATACGCACACTCCCACACAGAACACACATGCACACACACGCTCACCTATACACATGAGTAACAGTAATTTCTCAAAGTAATTTGTCCATGGAAACAACTCAAACCCCCAGGAGTGCACCGGAAGCAGGTTCCTGGGAACTCTCCCTTGGGGGTCTCTGTACTCCCAGCGCTGTGCTCTGTGACCCTCAGGCTGCTGCAGGCCACACCTGGGATGCCACCCTCAAACAGTTGCCTGCCCTGCAGGACACCATTTTCACCAAGAAGGCAGGCCCTGTGGTGTGGTTTCCTCTTTTCAGCTGTGAGTGCTGCCTCCAATGGCCATACATGTGACCTGTCTGTGGTCTAAATTCCCAGAGGAGGAAATCCTGGTTTTTTTTTTTTTGAAATGGGAGTCTCGCTTTGTCACCCAGGCTGGAGTGCAGTGGCATGATCTCGGCTCACTGCAACCTCCGCCTCCCGGCTTCAAGGGATTCTCCTGCCTCAGCCTCCCGAGTAGCTGGGACTACAGGCGCCCACCACCACACCTGGCTAATTTTTTGTGTGTATTTTTAGTAGAGATGGTTTCACCATGTTGGCCAGGCTGGTCTTGAACTCCTGACCTCAAGTGATTCTCCCCATCTCAGTCTCCCAGAGTGCTGGGATTACAAGCGTGAGCCATCGCACCTGGCCAGAGGAGGGAATTCTAAGCACGCCCTGTGGTGGGGTTGCCTTTCTCTCTCCCACCCGGCCTCTAGGAGCTCACCTCACCAGGGAGCCCACCTGGCAGCTGGACTGAGCCCACGAAGAAGGCGCCACACGCCCAGGTGTGCTCATGCATGTGTGTGGGTGCTGCCTGGGAATGCCTGTGCTGCACCTGTCTGCTCTGGGGCCTCATGTCCCCTGCTGCACCATGACAGTAGGAGGGGCCAAGAGCACCTGAGGAGTGGGGTGAACACATGTTCATGTATGTGATCATATGCATGTATGTACACGTGATCGCTTGTGCCTGTGCATGTGTGGACGCATGCATGTGTGCAGGCAGGTGTGTGTGGGAATGTGTGTGCATGAAGTGCATCCACATGCATGAGCACCTGTGTGTACAGGTGTATGTGCAGTGCCTGTGAGTGTACACAGGTTGTGTGTGCCTGTGTTTTGTGGCGTGGGCACCCCTGGATTGCCCCTGTCTGGAAAGGCCCTCTCTCCTGACCCAGCTGCACTTCTGCTGCCAGCATGTGTCCCTTTCTTGCTTAACTTTCACTAGACCAAGTCATGGATGGTTCTCAGGGCAGTCTTGCTATAGAATCCCAGTTCCCACCCACCTGATGGACCCTGGAAAGCTGCCCCCCAGGAAGGTGGGCTACAGGCTCCAGAGGACCCTTCCCCTCCAGTTCCTGCTGCGGCCATCACGAGTCCCTTTCCTGGCCCCACTCCACCTGCCCAGCTCCGGGAAGGCACAGGGCTCTGTCCTAACGCATGCTATGGCTGTTCCTGTCCTTGCCCGTGGGACCCAGGACAGTGGCATATGACACTTGAGGGCCTGCCCTACCCCCACCCCAGCTGCTACGTTCCTGCCTCTTCTCCACCCTCTGCCTGGCACCTGCCTCTCCCCTGCCTCATGCCCCCCTTTCACCTGTCCTTTCCTGGAGGTGGCCCCAAGCTTCAGGTCTGACCTCTCTTCCACCTGCAGCCAGTCCTCCCAGTAGCCCCCGAGCTGGACTCCACTAAGCTGCCTAGCTCTGTCCTTCTTGCATCAAGAGAGAAGTCCGGTGTCCACATGTCCCAAACACCTCCTGTCTCTTAGTTAATCCCCCTTTCTAATGGACAGAGAGAGCTGCCCTCCCACTCCACGGGGGTTCTCAGGCGCACAGCAGCATGCAGCTGGAATGGAGGAGAGAGTGACACTATTTCACGTGCTTTCCAGTCTGCGTTGGTTCTATAGTTACCTTACACTGGTGGTAAGTGAAACTAATCTTCCGTCTAATGAAGTAATATGCAGTGCTTTTAAACAAATTGTAATTAAAAAGGGAGTTGGTGGGAAAAGTGTGTAAACAGAAGAGGAGATGTGTGGTCAGAGTTCCGATCAAGAGTGGTAACCACGCTGAAGGGTGGGAAGCAGGTCTGTTGTGAGAGCCACCCATCCATTCCACAGACGGGAAGCCGAGCCTGCCTCTGCCCTGCGGAACGGCGCTGCCCAGCCTGACCCAGCCCCCACTCCACCTCCCCACATAGCATATGGGCACTTTGGTGTCCTCGATACCCGGGACTCTGAAGAAGGGCATGATCCCCGAGGGAGGGAAGGGAGGGGGCCCAACATGAGGGAGTGCCGGGTGGGGAAGCCTGCTAGCTGAGGACAAGCTGTCCTGATAGCTCCAGGCACAAAGGGGAGGCAGTGGCAGGGTCTGGGCCTGGAGGGTCTGCCCGTGCCAAGAGTCTCTTCAAGGTCAGGACTTTCAGGTGCCCCAACGTGAAAGGGAGCCTCAAATTGCCTATGGCTTTCTTGGGGTGAGGTGGCAGGCCCAGGCAGGCCCAACGAGTCCAGCTGGGGCCAGAGCGGGTTCTCATCCTGGCCTGGACTCCTGGGACCCCAAGCCCCATCTCTCAGAGCCAGAGGTGGCTGCGGGAGGGAGGGCAGCTGCCCAGGGATCAGGCTGGATTTCGTATAATCTGAGATTAGAGAGCGTGGGTGGGGAGAAGACAGGGCCTGAGGCAGGCTGGGGGACACCTGCCCTATTTACACAGCTGGTGGGTGCCTTCTGGAGGAACGAGGGGGCCCCTGATTGGCCTGTAGGATGGCCCAGAACCGGCCACCTTCCGCCTGGGCCCAGGTGCCCTCAGGGCAGTGCCCAGACTCCTCTTCTCCCCAAGTTCCTGGAACGTCTTGCCCACCCCTCTCCCAGCCCTGCCCAGCCCCTCCCAGGAGGGCCACACGAATCTCCATCCTGCCCTGCTCACAGCGCCTTCCTGCAGCCTCTGCCTCCCCAGCCAAGCTCAGGGCAGACTCTGGAGGGGCAGGTCTGTACTGTAGCCCCTGAAGGTGAGCCTGGGCACTGAGTCCCGAGCTGGCCACTTTGCACCCAGCCCAGGCCCTGCCCTTAAGAGGACTCACCCCCGGCTACTGCACAGACCTTGAGGGCAGGCTGTAGCCCTGGGGTGGGGTCATGCCAACCTGATGGGGTGACCTTCCAGGCAGGCTCCTTTGGGCACATTCCTCCATTTCTGCACGGAGAGCAAGCCCTTAAAATCAGAGGAGCTGCTGCGGACATGGCGGGTGTGGGGGGTTCTGACCATTCCCAGAAGCTCTGCTGTGCCCCCACCCCAGCTGCATGGCGGCCCCTCCCTCCTGGAGTTCTGGCCACCCAGGCACCCCGACCTCACCTTCAAGAACCTGGTCTCTCCCCTTAGCCGCTCGCCTCCGAACCCCGCAGTCAGCCCCTGCTGGGGGTCCTCGGCCGACCACAGAATGCTCAGGGGGTGGGTGTCCCTCCAGAGGCTGCCCCCGCCCTCTCTGGCACCGGGTGAATCCAGTGCCCCTTTAAGCCTACAGGATACGTCCCCCTCTCGGGCCGCTGTGTCCACTCCCCTTGGCCCTGGTCACCGGCAGCAGCCCCCAGGCCCAGTCTGCAGATGGGATGAGGGCACGCAGACCCTACCTGTTCCTCAGGTACTCACCCAGCCACTGCCCTGCCATGCCGAGCCCTTGGCCCAGCAGCCTCTTCTCTGAGAGCATCTCCGCACCACCCCCAGCCTGGTGTCTCCCCACAGGTAGGGGTGGCGGCAGCCCTGGGATGTCATCCATCCCTGTAAGCGATACTGTGGGCAGTCAGCAGACAGGCCGGGAGGTGGCCCAGCCTGGCTCCTCCCTGACTGGAGGCCGCCCAGCCCAGCCTCTGCTTCCCGTCCCGCCCGCTCTGCTTCAGCCTGGCCCTAGCTGCCCCCTAGATCTGTACCCTCCGATCCCCACCTGCTCCCTGCTGTCTGGACTTGGGCAGCTCGAATGCCAGAGTGCCTCAGGCTGGAACTGACACTTTTCTCTCCCTGCCCAGCAGGTCCACTTCGACACAAACCGGCAGCTCCCGGCGTGCCAGCCCTTGCCACACGCTTGGACCCTCTGCCGCCCATTCCCCTCACATCAGGAAAAGCTATGGATCTCAGGGTCAAGAGTGCTGGCGTCGGCGACAAACCTGCTCTTTCAGACACTCTTCCTACACGCAGGTTTCACACATGCTTCATAATCATAACCTCTATTTTCAGAGACTCAGTGGCACCTTCATGTGCTTCAAAGCCATTCCCTGGGACCCAGCGGAGGGATCCTGCGCCCCCGCCCTCCCCTGCAAGCTGGCCCTTCCCAGAGCACCACTGCCGGCTCACACGCCCTGAGCCCCTCCGGGCAGGCACTGCCAGAGCCACTCAAGGTGCTACTTACACGGGGCGGGCAGGGGGCCAGGGAGAGACGGAGATGGGCAGGGCAGGGGCCCCACTGGCGAGGGGCCCTCGGCTTCTGGGGTCCCTGAGCCCCTCCTCACAGAGTTCAGGATGTCAGAGATCCTGGGGGCTGGGGTGGAACAGATCAGACGTAAACACAAGGCAGGCACGGGGTCACGCAGGAGAGAAACCCATGGGCAGACAGCCAAGCCAGAGAGTGGTGGGCACAGAGGGAGACAGGGGGTTGGGGCACGAGGGGACAGAGGGGAGGGAGGGAGGATAGAGGGTGTGGGGGGAAGAGGGTGGACATGGGCCGATAGAGGGGATGTGGGGAACAGGGGGAAGCTTAGAGGACAGAGGGGAGCTTGGGGGACAGAGAGGGAAACAGGAAATGGAGGAGACTTGGAGGACAGAGGAGAATGTGGGGGGACAGAGTGGGGTATAGGGGGCAGAGCAGGGTGTGAGGGGATCAAGGGTGATGTGGAGACAGAGGGGGATGTGGGGGTACAGAGGGGGATGTGGGGGTACAGAGGGGGATGCAGGGTACAGAGGGATATGGGGGAATGGAAGGGATGTTGGGGGACAGGTGGGATGTGGGGGGACAGAGGGGGATGTAGGGGATAGAGGGGGATGTGGGGGGACAGAGGGGGATGTGGGGTAGAGGAGGTGATGTGGGGGGATGGAAGGGATGTGGGGGGACAGGGGGGAATGTGAGGGACAGGGGAGGGTGTGGGGGACAGGGGAGGGTGTGGGGGACAGAGGATGATGTGGGGGACAGAAGGGAGTATGGGGAGGAAAACAAACTCGAGGGAAACGGGGGAATTTGGGGGACAGAGGAGGACCTGGGGGACAGAGGGGATGTCAGGACAGAGGGGGTACTTAGGGGGACGGAGAGGGATGGAGGGTAGAGGGGTTGTAGTAGGGACCAAGGGGACAAGGGGGGACAGAGGAGACATGGGGACAGAGGGTGCTGCTGGGGACAGCATGGTGCATGGGGAGGAGGCTGCAGGAGTGGAGGCAGATGTTCTCGCTGTCGGGTGGGGTGGGCTGAAGCTGCTGTGGGCAGAGGGCACCCTGCTCGGAGAGGCAGCTGGTCAGCAAAAGCTGTCAGGTAAGTGGTCCTTGAGGAGCTCTGGGCGGAGTTACAGGAAGAGGCGGGAGTCGCTGGTGGCACAGAGGAGGCCAGGCCGGGCCCCGTGAGGACAGCCCAGGTCAGCGGAGGCCAGGCCTATCATTCTCCATGATAGCCCGTTGGCGAGCTCCAGGGACCCTGGCTGGGGTTCCAGTTCTGGCACCTTCCTCAGCCCCTTAGACTGATGGAGGGCGCTCAGGGTTTGGGGTCACATCAGGAAACAGGGTGGCCCTGAGTGCAGGCTCCGGGGCACCATAGGCAGGGCCCCGGGTGGGTGTACAGTCTGTGGGGCTGCGACAGTGGTCAGCAGAGAGGGCCTAGGGGACTAGGGGGCCTCAGAGGGGCCAGGGCTGCCCCAGGCTGGGACAGACCCTTTTGGGAGGGTCCTGGGGCTGGACAGCGAGTGGGGAGTGGCAGTGGGAACAGGAGCAGTGGAGGGAGCTGGGCCCTGAGGGAGAAGCCAGGAGCGGCCCTGCTGGTTAGCGTGGGAGCCCACGGAAGCCCCGCCAGGGCAGGATGCCAGGCTGCGGCACCAGGGCAGGGTAGCTGGGCCGTGCACGCAGGTGGGAAGCTGCTGAGCGCTGGCCATTCGCAGGGAGCTGTCCGCAGCAGAGGCGACAGGCCTGGGAGCCGCTACTTACACGGGGCGGGCAGGGGGCCTAGGAGAGCTGGAGACAGGCAGGGCAGGGGCCCCGCTGAGAGGGGGCCCTCGGCTTCTGGGGTTCCTGAGCCCCTTCTCACAGAGTTCAGGATGTCAGAGATCCTGGGGGCTGGGGTGGAACAGACGAGACGTAAACACAAGGCAGGCACGGGGTCACGCAGGAGAGAAACCCATGGGCAGACAGCCAAGCCAGAGAGTGGTGGGCACAGACATACGAGGAGGTGACAAGGCGGAGGAGGGCAGTGGAGGGGTCCCGTGTCCTAGACCCCTGGGGCCCTGGGGTCAGGCACCAAATCAGAGCTGCCTCAACAGCAAGAAACTCCCCTGAGCTGAGGTGGAGTGAGGCCTGGGCCAGCCCTGAAGACTGGAATTGAGGCCTGAGCCTCTGGGACCTCCCGTCCTGCCCAGCAGCCTTGGGCAGCAAAGTGCTCCAGGACCTGCCTCAGAGGTGGGGCTCGCTGGGCTGAGGCCACCCTGGGAAGCCCCAGTGATGGGTTGTGGGGCCATGAGACAGGAGCCAGGGTCCGAGCTTAGCCTGTCCTTGGCTCTGGAGCAGCCCCTCTAGGTGGTTGCCTGCCCTCCAACCTGACCCCCACAGCAGCAGGGCCCAGGCTACTTACATTGGGCTGGCAGGGGGCTAAAGGGAGCCGGAGATGGGCAGGGCAGGGGCCCCTCAGCTTCTGGGGCTCCTGAGCCCCTCCTCACTGAGCTCAGGATGTCAGGGACTCTGGGGGCTGAGGCAGAACAGGTGAGGCAGGCAGGCGGGCAGGGGCGCCCGCAGGAAAAGAAGGCGACTGGAGAAGGACAGGGGGAGGCCAAGAGGGAGAGAGGGGTGACAGGTGGATACTTGGGATGGCCACCCTGTGGGGGTCCTGGGCCTGCAGTGGCCACAGCAGGTATGTGAGGGCTGAAGGAGCCAATACCGGGCGGTGCCAGAGCCAGAGCCAGCAGAGGCCAGAGCGGCACGGTCCAGTGCAGGCTGGCACGGAGTCAGAGGCCACCCTGCCACCCTAGTGCTGTGACCACCCCTGGCCAGAGCCAGCAGAGACCAGGCCCATGGAGAGGGAGTGACAGTTATTGGAGGGGCATGATGGCCACTGGGCCTGTCTGGACTGTGTACCAGTCTCTGGGCAGCCTGGCAGGGCTTCTTTCTGCACCAGGTGGGGTGGGGGTGTCTGCCTCCACCTTGACAGGCTGTGCAGTCTCAGATCTGAGCCACGTTGCTGGCTTTCTGGGTGTCTCTTTGTCTCCCCTGCAGGCTCCAGGCTGGGACCCCCTCCCAGGTCTCCTCCCTCACTGCTCAGCGCCCCACCGGGCTGGGGGTGATGGCAGAACCTCTGGACAGCCTCCATGCTGTTGCCTTTCGGGCCTGTTCCAGACTGCAGGGGAAACACACTAACACCCACTCTCCAGCGTCCAGGGCCCAAAGTCCTGTCCATGCTCATCTCTGCTTGGGGACAGCATCACAGCTGTGTAGGTTGGGCAGGAGTGAGGCTGTGCTTTGGGCAGGTAAGACATTTTCTCCCCTAAACTGGCAGCATGGCTGACCCTTGTGGGGCACTGGGGCAGCCCTGAGGGCAGCTCAGGGCTTATCTAGGTGACCGTGTGAGTGACGAGGGTCAGGAGCCAGAGCCAGCAGAGGCCAGGGCAGCACAGGCCAGTGGGTGGTCTGGAGGCGGCGGACTCCGTGGAGCATGCCCTAGTGCCAGGTGTCCTGGGGGCCTCTTGGGGAACACACAAGACATTGACCTGGGTGAGCATGAGCATGGGAGGGGCCCTGGAATCGCTGTGCGGCAGAAGCCCACCGCAGGAGGCTGCTCCTGGCTTAGCGAAGGCAAACCCAGAAACGCCCACCCAGCTGCCTGGCCACTCGGCAAGCACGCGCTGGACAGAAATGCAACCTTAAGGAGCTTTAAGACAAGGACAGCATCTTGGAATAAATTCTACCCATGAACCTCTTCCCCGTGAGGGTCCTGGTGTGAGAACCTATGCCCACGAAAAGCTGTGGCTTCCTCATGTGGCCTCGGAGACCGAGACTGCCTGGCTGCTGTCATGTCTGCCACGCTTCCCACCCCCTGGGCAGGCCTGACATCCAGGCTCAGGGCGGGATAGCAGCTGCAGGGCCCCCGAGCCCCCCGAACACCCGCACACACCAAGCATCACAGGAGAGCTGACCCTGCCCGAGTGCCACCCTCCTCAAGGAGCAGCCCAGAAGCACCACGGCTGCTGGGGACAAGGACTCGAGTGCAGGTACCTTTAGCGTCTTCATCCTCTATGGTGGTGTTGGCACTGTCGGAAGACTCCTGAGGAAACACGGGAGGCAGCGGGTCAGGATGTGGCCGAGGACAGATGGGATGTGGCTGAGGGCAGGTGGACGGGGCTGGGACTGTCGGGACCAGGCCAGGTGCTGACGCTGACCTCTGTCCCAGCTGCTTCGACCGGGCCTAAAGGCCAGCTCTGTGGACCTCATGTGGCAGCAACCAGAGAAGGCCCCCAGCTCTGTGCTGGTCCCTGGGAGGGCACCCCTCACCAGGGTGCATTTTCACTGCAGCCGGCACAGGCTGGCACGGAGTCAGAGGCTAGCCCTGCCACCCTAGTGCTGTGGCCACCCTGCATCCCCAACACACGAGGGCTCCACTTCTCCCTCCGGCAGAGACTGGTATGCTCAGCTGACTCTTTAACAAGAGAGGAAAAGAGGCTTTTTGAAATTCCAAGACGTAAGACATAATGGGATTGGCTGGCTCCGGATCAAGCAGCCACAGGTGTAATCCAAAAGACAGAGCGAGGCGTTCCCAGGAGCTCTGCAGAGCCGCACAGGGCTCCAGGCACCTCGGCCTGGCCCCAGGGAGAGCACACCTGCCACCCACATTCCCTCAGCGCCACCTGCCCCACTGGGACTGAATGTCCAGCCAGGCCCCAGCCTCACCTCTCAGGTGGCCTTAGAGGGCAGAGGTGGCCCCAGCCTCTCCCACCCTACTCCAGGGCTGCTGCGCTTCAAAAGACCACCCTCCAGGTCCCCAGGAGGCCTGCTCTGCTCCTCAGGAAAAACATCTTACAAGGTCCCTGGGGAACCTCCCTCTGGTTTGGACTCTGCCTGGACAGTGCTCGGGGCCCTAGACCAAAACTACGTATCTTCAGGTGCAGGGGCACAGTTCCCACAGCCTAGAGGTTGTGTAGGGGTCCTGCAGAGAACATGACCCACCCCAGACACACATGTGTCCCAGGGACACCAGTCCCTAGCTGACAGGTGGGGAAAACACCCAGGCCCTGGCTGCCTAGAACCATGTGTGCCTCTTGGACCCCCTGGTCCCTGCCATGGAGAAAGATGTCTTCTGATGATGGGCTGGGTGGTGGCACTGGCCAGAGGAAGTGGGGGTCCCCACGGAGGCACTCTGGAGGCTCTGTAAGGAGCCTAGGCCTAGTGGGGAGCTGGGCTGGAGGGCCTTGTTGGGTACAACGGTGCTGTTCTGGAAGTCTTTGAAATGGCTTGGGCGCTGGCCCCAACCCTCCCACCACCCCAGAGAGCCAGCCCCTTCCCTGGCCCCAAAGTGATGATGCCAATGCGATGGGAGCCGATGGGCAGAGCAGAGAGGGCGGCAGAGGAAGGAGGGTCTGCTCAGCAGGAAGCACTGGGGGCCGCACGGCGAGGAGGGTGGAGGACAGCCAGGAGGGGCAAGGACACAGCTCCTGAGATGCAGGCTCCGCTCCAGAACTCAGGGAGCCCTGGCTCCCTGCCTGCAGTAGGTGGGACACTCGGAGCCCTGGTCTGAGAGTGCTGGCCACATGGGGACTGGGCGCAACTGTACCAAGCACCTCCAGGGGCACACTTGGGGCCTGAGCCAGGACTGAGGCCCTGCCCTGCTATGGGGAGGGGCGGCCAGGGCCACGGCACATCTGCCCTCCACTCTGGCACAAATGCTGCCCCAGACCTCTCTCCTGGCCCGGAGCCTCCTGCCTGGGGAAAGTGGGAGGAAGAAAGAGGGGCAGTACCTTAATCCCGTCCACTGGGTTATGGATGACGGTGGTTTGAGGCTCCTACAGAAGAAGGAAGACAGAGGAAGGAAAGAGAGGGAAAGTGAGAAGAGGAGGAAGCAGAGACCACCAGGAGGGGAACAGGGAGACAAAGAAGGTGTGGGCGGCCAGAGCCTGCGAGAAAGAAGTGCAGAGCAGAGTGGGGGACAGGGATGGAGGCGGTGTGGAGCAGTTGGGAGGAGCCTGGGTCAGCTGGCAGGATGGAACAGACAGGAACTCTGTCCCGGCTGGTGGAGGTGCTGCTGTCCAGGGCGGGAGATGGACTGCGTGGGGCCCCGACAAGCTGTACGATGCATGTGGGAGCCAGAGAAGCCAGGCTCGGCCTTGGGGAGTTCTCCCCACCCTTTGCTGCCTGAACCTGAGCCCCAGCATGGTGGGGGGCACAGGTTTGGAGATGTCATGGGGGTGGGAGTGGCACATGGATGGACAGGGTCTGAGATGGGGCTGGCTGTGAGGCCGGCACGTGGGCTGCCCTGGCTACTGGAGGTCCTAGGTAAGCTGGCCTCAGGCCACCCTCTGGCCATGGCCTGGCTGCTCTGAGCAGCTCGCCCCTCCCAGGACTGCTATCCTCTCCTGGGGCTCAGGTTGGCCGCTTGGTAAACCCAGCATTCCTGTGGGCAGTCTGGGGCTAGCTCCCAAAGCCTGGCCTGGGGTTCTCAGGGAACATCAAGCCTGCTTCCAGCAAATTTGGGTACCTATGGGCCAGCAAGCCCCAAAGCTCTTAGGACAATGGAGGGGACACAACACAGTGCCCCAGCAGGAAGGCCAGCACCCACCAGCCACTTCACATCCTTGGGAGCACTGCTGTAGGGTTCACCTGTAGGAGCCCCCAGAGTGAGGGCAGTGAGGGGTGCTGTCGGGGGAGAGCATGGTGGGGGCCCCTCCCCTCCCCAGCAGGGAGCCCCTTAGCCCTGCCTCTCAGGCAGCCACAGAGCAGCACAGGTGTGCTAGCCCCTGACGCAACACAGATGCCATGGCAAGGCCCCTCTTCGCTGCCACTGGCCTAGACACCTCCTGACTGCACCAGTGTGGCCCCATCTCCCCACGGGCTGTGGAGTGTGCCACTCTGGGCTGTTCCCCCCGAAGAGCCTGGCCCAGCCCCTGAAAGCCAGACCCTGGGAGTGGTCTGTGGGTCGGCCTGTTGAGGCATGGCGGTGTGCACCTATAGTCCTAGCTACTCAGGAGGCTGAGGCAGGAGGATCCCTTGAGCCCAGGAGTTCAAGGCTATAGTGAGGAGTTCAAGGAGGAGCTGAGGGTGGAGTCCTGTTGGGGGAGAGGGTGCCCTCTGCCTCACTGACTTCCTGAAGTACTGCTGGAGAAACACCCACAAGTCAACATGGGTGGGAGGCGGGGCCTCTCCCCTGCACCCCAACATCTGTGGGTCTCAGCCAGGGACTCCCTAGAGTAGCCCTAAGCCTGTCTGAATTGGAGACTCCCATCCCCCACAGTGGCCTCTTGTCTCCACCTCACCACCGGTGAGGGATGAGGGGCAGGGGCCAGGCGTGTGTGTCAGACAGGCCAGGCAGGGCCAGACCCCATCTTCACCGGGCCCCCTCTGACCATCAGCAGTCACACAGCCAGGGATGTGGGAGGGGCTGAGACACAGAGATTGAGGAGCTCAGTACCAGGGCGGCAGGAGGAAGCGTCCCTTTGGGGCTGGTGGCGGCTGCACTGTTTTTGGTGCTATTCGTCTGGGGCTGCGGAGAGAGGGAAGAGGAGGCCTTAGGTGGGAGAAGCCCCTCGCTCGCCGTTCCTTCCCGTGTCTGCCAGGGCGTAGAGCGGGGGTACTCCAGAGTGGGAGCCCCAAGGAGTGGGGATGAAGCCACAAGCTCTGGGCTCCCCGCACCCCAGGAACCGGCCGGAGCCTCACCTTGACTCCATCTGCTTTCTTGTTGAGTAAACTCTTGGCTGCTGCATGGGGAGGAAGAAGGTGTGGTGAGTGACAGGCCTGGGTCTTGCTGCAGTATACCCCCACCCCTGTGCCTGCCCCCACTCTTTCCCCAGAAGCAAGCCCAGGGTCCTGAGGCAGGTGTGGCTCCGGCACCCAGGTTGGCTCTGAGCAGGTGGGGGGCTGTACCATCACCCCAGGACAGTCCTGTCCCCAGGCTCCTCCATGACCCCAGGCCTGTGCAGCCATCCGGATTTCTCCACTGACCAGACCCAGAAATGCCCGTGGGTGCTGAGAAGGCCCCTTGGCTTCTGGGCCACATGCAAGCTCTTCCCAGAGGAAGGCAGGGTGGTGCCCCCTCCATGATGGAAACTCAGGACTGGCAGCGCCAGGATGGGTGGGGGGAGCCAGCACTTCAGAGGTCATGCCCTCCTGGGTCCCGCCTTCCCCGGGCAGGGGTGGGTGCGCTGCAGCTGGCTGCCCACTCGGAGGGGCTTATCCCAGCCCAGGCGCCCTCCCTGCTCTCAGCACCATCACCCTCTTGGCACCCAGGCCTCAGAGCTCTGCCCCGTGGGCCTCTCAGCTCAGGCACCAAGGGCAGCCCTGCTCACCCTCATTCCAAACTGCCCGGCAGCCCCGGCCTTGGGGCTGCTTCTGGGCACTGACTGGGGCCAGCACAGGCCTTTCTGCCCACAAGCCCCTGAGGACACTTGGGCCCAACAGCGGGACCCCTTGCCTCACCCTAACACTCCCCGTCAGAGGTCGGGGGGCCTGGCCCCAGCCCCTGGGACCCACACCCTCCATGGCGATTAGGATTTTAATTACAGAACTAAAAATTAAAAATAAATAAAACAAAAACAAAAGAGGAAGTCAGCTTACCTTACAGAAAAGGAAAGGTGAGGAGGGGAGGGAGTGAGGAAGGAAGAGAGAGAGAGAAAACAAGATTTGTGCTGGTTCCGGCAGGGCGCAAGCCTGGGGCCCAGGTCTCACAGGTGACTTGTCCTGGACCATGCTTGCCAAAAAGAGCCAGGCCATGCCAGCCAGCCGGTGCAGCAGGGTTAGAGAAGCAGCCAGGCTGGACCCGAGGGACCGACGACGTCGGGATGCTTGCCCCAGGCCAAGCCGGGAAGGAAGGTGGCACAGCACCCCCCGACCCCTCCCCCACCTCGTGGCTCCAGGACACTGGCTGGCCAGCCTGTGAAATTGGGTTCTCCTGCCTGGGGACCCTGTGCTGCCCATGCAGGCCTGGGTGGGGACAGACAGGCACATTTTGACCTAGGACTGCAGCACTTCTCAAACGGGGTCCTCTCCCTACCCCAGCAGCAGCAGCAGCAGAATCGCCTTGTACAGTCAGAAATGCAAATTCCCAGGCCCCCCCTCCACCCTCCTGAGCCAGAACGTCTGTGGGGCTGGACATCCGTTCCACAAGCCCTCCTGGTGGTTCTGAGCTCGGTGCTCCAGGTTGCCGTGGAGATCAGGAGGCCGCACCCCGCAGGGCATAGACAGGCCTGGGCCTGCTGCCTGCTGACCACCCCTCCCGGTACCGATGCCCAGTGCTGCCTCCTCCATGGCCCTGGCCCCTCTGGGCTCTGTGGAGACTGGGGATCATGCTGTGCAGCGGCTGCACATGGCCCTGGGGACCCTATGTACAGTGGGTACACAGTTTCTATCCCCTTCCTCACAGAGCTCTTAACTCTCAACAATTTTGTATGAAGCCCAGAAGTCCCTCCCAGGATCTGTGGAGAAGTGGAGGGGCCCCAGGCATCACTCTCCCCTCCCCAGGCCTGAGGCTCCACCCAGTGAGGCTGCGCACAGGACCACCTCCCTGGTGCCCCACCATAGCCTGGCCCCATGAGTTCCCAGGACCAGAAATGCCGACTTCCCGCTTGCCTACAGTGCAGACTGAAAACCCTTCACCTCGCTGTGGCTCAAATCTGCTTCCCTGTAACTCTCTGTGGAGGGAGAGGCTAGTCCTGAAGACCCGGAACTCATGGTTCCAGGCCTCCCATAGCCCCTCACCTTTCTGTGCACCCCGCCCTCTCTGCTCCCCTCCCATCTCCAGCATACACAACTCATCCCAGAAACATCTGCCAGCGCCAGCCAGCCTGAGGCTGCAGCTGGGGATCCTGTCCTTGCTGGTGACCAGCTGCCCGACACAGCTGGGGGACAGGCTCCTCCTAGGAGCCTGAGGAAGGAGGCATCCAGTCTTGCCTTGAGGACATTTGTCATGGGGAGCTGAACAAGCAAGATGGGACCCAGACCCTTCCAGAAACACACATTTCAAAAAGCTGTGGCCAACTGAAGTGGGCGCTGTGCGGGAAGCTGTTTCTACCCCACCCCCGAGAGGACAGCCAGGCAAGCAGCCTGTGGCAAGCCGGCGGCACTTCCAGCCCGGCCCTGCTGGGCTCTGCCTTGGAACCGGGGCCGGCGCGGCACCCTAGGCGGCAGTGGAACTGAACTCCTCCCCCGGCCCATCCTCAGAAGATTCTCACAGGAAAGGAGGCACCAGTTACGCCCATCGGCGGGTTGACAGAGACCCTGGACAGTCCTTGCTACTAAGAAGGTTCCATTTAGATCCTTGAGTCTATCAAAACCCACATTTCCAAACTGTGCTACTGGAGATGTATCACAGCCGCAGTGGGAAATAAAAAGACAGAAGTTCACAGTCCAGTGGGTGGCAGGTGCCTCGTACAAACCAGCCCTCCGCGGAGGACTCAGGCCGACGCTGCTGCCAGCGCTCCGGGAAGCCCTGCAGCCGACGGTTTGTCTCAGTCAGTTTCCAAACGTCCTTCCGTGTGAACCCGCTTTTAAAACAATCGCTTGTACATGCCTTGGGCACAGTGTGGGGTGCATAGGCCCAGCCGTCCTGAGCCCATAGCTCCTGGCCACCCATTTTTTGGGGGGCTTCTCATTTCACATCTCTGCCTGGTATTAACTCCAGATTCACTGTGGCCAGAGTCCTGTGGACACCCATCTATACTAGCGTTCGAGGGTGTGGGAACTTTCTTTCTGTGTCTCAAGTTCAAAGCATGCATTAGGTGCAGCAGGAGCCCGGGGGAGACGGAGCAGCCACAGACATCCCAGACCACGGGGCTGGGGGTTCTGTAGGCCTCTGTGGGACAAGGAGAGGCCCTCTGCCCTCCATCGTGGGAGGGCACTGCCCATTCCTGGGTCTCCAGGGCTGGGCAACTGTTGCCACCCTGCAGCTGGCCAGAAACTGTGGTCACCTCTGCTCTTACACCCGATCAATGCAGGATAGACCATGGAGGCCAAACTGAAGCACACTCAACAGACGGATTCTCTCTGTGGGCTGAGGGGGCTCTGCCATGTGGGAATTGTGACCCATGGTACCAGAGTCAGCTGTCATTGGTGGAGAAGTGAGCTCCCTGCTCACTTCTGTGGGGTGCCGCTGAGCTGGGCTGACCTAACAGGATGGTGGTCCCCTCAGCCCCACTGCCTCGTCCCCTAGCTGGTCACCCAGGACAGCCATGCTGGGCTCTGTCCACATGCACCAGCCACCCTCCAGGACAGAGCCGCTCTTGGCGCCCAGGGTGGAGCTGCACATGCATGGCCTCATGCACCGTCGCCCTATGTTCACTTGCAGGCAGGCAGACACTGCAGCGGGAGCGCCGGGCACAGGGCAGCATAGAGGCAGCTGTCTCTCAGCACTGTACCCTGGGCAGCAGCACCTCCCCAGAAGCCACTAGTCTCACCCTTTCCTAATCACGGCCCCTCCCGCCTGTGCTCTGGAAAGCCCTGTCAAATGCAGCAGACGTGAGCGGACCCTCCCAGGGTGCTGCCTGCTGGATGCGTCCACTGGGCTCATGGAGAACGGACTGCCCTCCCCTCCCCGAGGACGGCCTGGGCCTCCTCAGGAGGAGGCTTCTCTGGTTGGGAAGACTGGGCTGCTCACCCTGTGGGGTCATGAGGGGGCCTGGGGAAGACGGTCCCCAGCACCCTGGAACCTCTGTCTGGTCCCCAGCCCATATTGGAGGCACTGACAGGGAACTCGGCTGCTCAGCCCAGGGAGGACCTGGGGTCAGCCCTCTGTGTTCCATGCCCAGGAGTTGCCAGCTTGGCCTGACCTAAGTTTTCACCAGTCCTCAGCTCGAGCTGCAGCTGCAAGGAGGTCTTGGGGTCCCCTCACCCTCATGGGGTCTGCCCATTGTCACAAGCCAGCAGGTGGGCAGAAGCCAACTTGGGCCTCTGGGCTCTGGCCCCGCACAGCCCAGGGGAGCAGGTGGGCAGAGCTGGCCTTCTCCCTCACAGGGTCTGGGGCCAGGGAAGGAGGACTTTGCAGAAACAACCCAAGAGGAAGCCTTGAAAGTCTCCTCAGGGTGCCTGAAGCTCCCACCCTGCTCCAGAGCGGCCTATCCTGGGGGGTGCTCAGGGCCGACATGCATGTGTGGGACTCAGCAGCACAGACCACCGTCTCCGTGCGGCCCCGAGGGGCCGGTGTGAGTCTGCCCCAAGGGCCTCTGCCTCTCTGGCCCTGCTCCCCAAGGCTCTACTTTCAGGATTCAGACACCCCCAGCAGCAGGCCCAGTGGCTCCCTGTGGGGTCCAGGCCATTCTCAATGGGGGTCTCCAGACCCCCAGACTCAGGGGCCGGGACCAGAAGGGCTTGGCATGGCCCAGGGGTCACCTATCCCAGCCCCTCCACTTACAGGCAAGGAGCCTGGGGGGCTGACTCCCTGCCCTTGTGGTGGGCTCTGCTTGGATGAGACCACACGGGAGCAGGGGCTCCCGGGGGCCTGGCGGCCTCTGGGGTGGCTCTGGAACCCGGCCAGCAGCTGCGTGCAGCAGGGGGCTGCATGCTGGCAGGAGGGACGGGCGGGAGCGGGCGGGACGCTGGTCGAGACACATCTACCTTGTTCCACCAGCCCCATGGTGGTGCCGGAGGCCGCGGTGGACATTGTGGCCGGAGCGGTGGTCTGTCTGCCCACTGTTAGCACCGGGTTAGAGACGAGGGGGAGGGAGGGGTGGGCGGACACAGACGAGGGGTGGGCGAGGTAAGGGAAGAAAAGAGACAAAGGAAGCAGAAGAAGATTAGAGTTAAAGTTTAGGTGACAGATGGTTCCAGAATCCTTTGCTCGAGAGAGTAGAAACAGGATTGGACTGATTGACACGGAAAAGCATTTGCCTCCTTTCTCCTTAGAAACCCCAGTGGGGGCTTCTCATGCCAAAGGGCGTGGTGGGCACAGAGCAGACAGGACAGTCCTATTAGTGTTGGTGTGACCGTGTGCACGCGTTCCCGGCAGTACAGCATCACAGCAAAAGTAACAGGATGGGGGTAAGGTTGGGAGTGCCAAACGCAAACGGACAACGAGAGAGACGGATCACAGACGCTCGCACACTGAGTGTTGGACGACGGAGAAGCCACGGGCACAGCTTGTCCAGGCCTGGGCTGCCGGCTCCACTCGGGCTAACCTCAAGCCCCAGATGGGTCTGCCAGCACCCTGGGCCTCAGGGGTCTATAACAGACCCCCCTCCCCCAAGAAACCTTGCTTCCCAACCAGCCATCCTGAGCGGCCGGGGCAGGAGGCTGCAGCTCTTCCAGAACTTGGAAGGAGGCCCCTGAGCCTCCCGCATCACCCCGCATCCCCCCGCATCCCCCTGCCCACCTCCCGCACAAAACACACTGCTCAGAGCACTCGAAATGACACGGAGGCCACACAGATGTCCGACAAACGCCTGGACAGACACACGCGATGCTGCGAGCCCCAGTGAGGGGCACAGATGCTCGCGTTCAGGGGGTGGAGGGACACAGACCCCCCACGAAGGTGATGGGCTGGGGGGTAGGACCCTGTGGTGTCGCTCTAGGAGGGGGCCCAGCGGGGCCAAGTGGGCAGTGGGTGTCAGAGTTGAGGGCAGGCTCCGAGGGCGAGGGCGGGCCTGCCGCAGAGGAGGAGTGGGGGACTGGTGAGGAAGGAGGCACTCTCCCGCACGGGCTGCAGGGAGGGGACAGCACCTGTCTCCTTGGAGAAGAAAGGCTCACCTGAGAAATTCCGTGTGGCCAGCATGGTGGTGAGGATGGCCCCCTGGGGAGAGACACAGATAAAACCGCGGCTGTGTCGCCAGTGTTCTCTGCTGGCTTCTGGCCAGGATAAGACCCCTGTCCACCTGCCCAGACGCCCAGCCTCATGGGCACCTGCAGGACATGACCTCAGCCTTCCAGAGAGGCAAGAGCTCCAGGAACCCAGCAGCCGCACTGCAATAAATCACCTGTTTCCAGAATTACACAGACCCTGGACCTAAACCTGCGGACCAGCTATAGTTTCTAACTGCTTCAAGATCCCTCAAGCCTCAGGGGTTGCCAGAACTGCTGGTCACCATGGCAGCTCCTCTGGGGTCTAGTTCCCTGACAGCCCCCTTCTTTTCCTGACAGGCTCAGAGCAAGGGCAGCAGTCCTCGGGGCTCCAGGGAGAACCGTGCAGAGACCAGCAGAGGGCAGTCGGGCAGCAAGCCCCAGCCCAGAGTCCACACAGAGAGGGACTGCCCGAATGCGGCTGTCTGAGCCAGCCCTGGCCAAAGCAGGCAGGTGGGATACCCTACTGGTGCCCACCTCCCTCCCTGACCTCCCCCAGCCCACCCAACTCTGCTATCCCTCCCAAAACTGTCTGAGCCGGAAGCTTCAGACTCGCTTGTACTAAAGCGTATGTGTAACTGCCAGGGGACATGTGCTGTCTGCAGAGCCTGGGTGAGGAGCCCGCAGCGGGTGCTTTAAGACAACCCCTCCAAAGGGTGCTAGGAGGTGGTATAGACGACTAGGAGGGGCCGCGCGTGCCCCAGGTCACCTCAGGACTCGTTCCCAAGCTGGGCTGAGTTCATCTGATGCATCTGGTCTGGGACTTGCTAACACTCAGTCCTGGGGGCAGCAGCAGCCCCTAGGTCTGCTCAGACCCCTCCAAGGCCCCGCCGCTCCAGCCCAGGGGGACGCAGGGAAGCATGACAGTGCTGGGGACTAGGAGCCAGGGCCTCACCTTGAGCTTTCTTCTGGCATTGAACTTTTTCAGACACTCCACTGTCTCCTGTCTGTGCATCATGGAAGCTACCGTGGAGCGTTGCTGTGGGGAAAGGGTGGTCACACGGCAGCCAGGAGCCCGAGGCACAGGGGAGAGGCTGGGGCAGCAAGGCTTGCAGTACCCAGGGGTAACCACGTGATCAGCCACCATTGCAGCAAGGGCCGTCTGTCCCCACCTGCCTGGGACTTCCCTTGCCTCGCCCACTCTGTCCCTCACAGACAGGACTACAGCCAGGGGAAGGGACCGCTGCTACCCTCCAATGCCCTCCAAGCCCCAGGCCTCACAGATGTGCTGGTGTGTCCCAAGCCAGAGGCCACAAGGTGCACCCGGGGACCCAGGGGAGGTCTTGGATGTCAGGAATAGGATCCTCTTGGGGCCCTCGCCAGGGGAGTAGTCCGAAGCCACCTCCGCCAGGAGTCCCTTCCCCGCCGCGGGCACCAAGGGCGACTCACGCAGACCCACGGGTGCTTCAGGGCCTCATGGGCTGTGATGCGCTTGGCAGGGTTGATGGTCAGCATCTGGTTGATGAGGTTTTTGGCTTCAGGAGTGACAGTGTCCCACTCAGGGGACGGGAACTGCAGAAGAAAACAGTGCCCAGGCCGGGCCTGAAGCCCCCTCTTGGGCAGGGGCCAGAATTCTCCAAGGGGCTTCATCTCCAGCCATGAATCTGAGAGAGCAGGAGCCTGGCCTCACCCCACTCCTGGCCTCTTCCCATGCTGCCCTCACCCAGCCACACCCAGAGGAAGGGAGCACTCAGAGCAGGGCTGGTGCACTCACGTCGTAGGCGCCAGCCTTGATCTGCTGGTACAGCTTGTGCTGGTCCTCGTCCCAGAAGGGTGGGTAGCCCACAAGCAGGATGTACAGGATCACCCCTGCGGACGGGGCCTGTGAGCACCGCGGCCACTTGCAGGGTGCCACTGTCCATGGAGCCCAAGCCCTGCGCCGTCACTGCCTGGCTCCTGTGGCCCTGGGAGGGCACTGGGGTCCCTAGCATTCCTTTGTCCCCACCTGTGCAGCAGACACTGGGGCAGAAAGGCACAGCCAGCCCCCACACCCTGCCCCACACCCACACTATCACGGGGATGTCGGTGACACCAACCGCCTCTGCTGCTCCTCCACCTCTGTGGTAGGTGACCCTGGCCCAAGGAGGTGGCCCTGCCCATGCCCCGACAGTCCCTGACCTCTCCTCTCCACTCCCGTCCTCCCAGCACACTTCTGGACCAGATCTCTGCTGAGCGCAGGCGACCACTGGGGTGTGCCAGGGTATGTGAGCAATTCTAATCTGGGTGGGAAGGGGGCTCCCGGCTGTGTAGGAAGACCCCTGCCAGGGAAGCTCAAGGGCCGGTCTGACACAGATAAACCCAGATCAGAGCAACACATGCTGGTCACTGCATGCTCCAGGATGTAGGCGGGAAGTCCTGAAACACCCAAGGCCCCGCCCCACCCCCACTCGGGCCAGGCCTCACCACATGCCCAGATGTCCACGGGCTTGCCATATGCCTCTTTGCGAAGGACCTCAGGGGACAGGTAGCCTGGTGTGCCAGCGAACCCTAGAGAGAGAAGAGGCCACGAGGGGCTGTCAGCACCACTGCCTGCTCTACCGACTGCCAGCCAACACCTCCTGCCCCTGGCACTCACCAAACCATGCCTGCTGGTCCCCCTGCACCTCGATAGCTAGGCCGAAGTCCGCCAGCTTCACTGCAGCCCCTTTGCACTTGCTGGCCAGGAGCAGGTTCTCCGGCTGCAGGGAGGTGACCCGCACAAGGGTGCACGTTGTTTAAACCCAGAGGTGTTATGAGGGGGGAGGTCACAAAACAGAGAAAACAGTGGTTTACAAGAGACAGATGCACAGGTCTGAGCCCTGCCCCATAGTGTCTGCAGGGCACAGCTGAGCCTTTACCTGAGTTTCAGATGCTGGGCCTGCAAGCTCACAGCCCCCCCATCCCTGGGGACAGGGACAGCAGCTCTGGCCTTTTAGACGAAAGTTGGCTCTCAGCCTGAGCTTGGATCCCCATACCCTGGAAGGGCAATCTAGGGGCCATGTGGATCAAAACCACAAGCAAACTGAAAGTTCCCACAGCACAGGGGCTGACCACGCAGTGGCTGGGGGCTCCCGTGGCCCTTGGACTCCCACTGGCTGAGGGGCTGCAACAGCCCTCCCTCCCCTCCCTGTTTACCATTCCCCAGAGACTTGGGATGTGGGGGGGGGGAGCTGCTTGAGGGGAGGTTCAGGTATTTCCTGCTGAGATGGTGACCCCCAAAGGGCAAGGAGAAGTCCCCAGGGGCTCCAGCACTAGGGGCAGCCCAGGACATCCACACAACAAGTCCTCTTGGCTCTGGTCAGCCCCACCACATGGGGCGGGAAGGAGGCCCTGCACTGAGCCCCCACCTGCTGGGTGTCCACAGGTGGGGGCAGTTACTCCTGACACAGGGAGCAGTGCCCTTAAGCCAGAAGGACATCCGCTCCCAATCCTGCAGCAGCGCCAAGGAGGCTGCTGTCCCCGGACTGAGGACACCTGGCACTGAGGACCTGAGGGGGTCCCAGGGCCACTGAATCCCCTGGGACCTTCCTGCACCAGCCTTCAAACCGCCCAGGGCTCTGGCCTACCCATCAGCCTCACCACCTCCTGGCGGAGGTGTCTCTCGGCTGCAGGCCTTCCTTGTCCCTGACCAGCAGGGGTCTCCCTGGGGCCCTCGGGTCCCCTTGGCCAGCCTCCCAGGCTGCCCCTTCGCCCGGCGAGTGTCCTGCTGTCCTGGCACTGTTTCCATCTGATACACTGCCCTCGGGATCACACTGCCACTTGATGAGCCACCATAAAAGACGAAACACAGCCACCTCAACCACTTTTAACACATAAACCCCACAGATCTTGAAATGTGAAAAAGTGGCTCCCAGAATGAATGAATTATGCTCTCCCCATGTGGAAAGACTGCCACAACCCCGAGCTGTGAGTATCTCGGCAGAAACCCAGAGCTTCCTTGGGAACTACAGCCATGCCCTACTGAGCAGGCGGGATGAGGCCGTGTGCCCCCTTGACAGGGCACCATCCCCTACCTCCACCTCCTTGTCTCCTTGGGGGGCCCAGAAGGCTGGGACACATGCATCCCTGTCCACTGAGCACCAATCCACAGGCCTCTGGGTATGGCGATTTTGCCAATGTGAGTGGGTTGGGGGCCCCAAGCTCCCTATGCACCCGCATGGAAAAGGACAGAGGAGAGGGCAGGGACTGCAGGCAGAGGGGGCAACGGCTGCATTTCTCTGCCCAGCCCAAAGCAGACTTGCCACATGTGTCCCCCTCCCCGGAGGAAACAGACCAGCAGTTCTTCCTTAGAGAATAAGGAGCGTTAAGTGAACGTGGGCCATAGGAAGCACTGGGCAAGAAGGCCTGGAGGCTCCAGGGTAGCTCTGAGGCTGTGCCCACCCCTGCTGGGCCACCCAGAGATGCCCGACCTGACGCTCCTCGCTGGCTCTTTTGCAGCTCCCCTGGGATGGCATCAACTGCCCTCTGCTCTCCGTCACCCTCCCCAGCTGGGTGAGCAACCCCACCACTCAGCTGCTTCCTGGGCTGTCATGATCAAGACGGTGGATTTCTGTCCAGGACAAAAGGATATTCTGTCCCCCTCAACAGGAGGTTGAGACAGTAAGAATTCTGCCTGTCCTCCAAATTGGTGAGGAGGTAGCACTGATCTCCACTTCTATGCCTTGGCCCCAAAGTTAACCAGATAAATCACAGGGTCTGGTAGCAAAGTGCCCAAGTCTCCTCACAAAAGAACCACTGAGTCCTAGCACCAACCCATGGAGCCCTGAGGGGAGCACCTGGGGGCCCTCTCCTCCCAAAGGTGCCTGAGTGAGGCCAGCTCAGATGAGACAGAGCAGGACATGCTTGGGATGCAGAGATGAGAGGGAGCAGGGGGCATGGGGGCGTGTGAAGGGTGCAGGAGAGGGTCCCGGATCTGCTCTTGGTGTGAGTCTCCCAGAGCAGCCCCCGCATCGATGGCTTAAGGAAGGGTGTGACCCCCATTCAGCATGAAAACCAATGGGCAGGTTGGTCTTAAATGCTGCCAGGGTGATGGGCCCAGGGTCCACATTGCTTGCCTGTCTACAGAGAAGCAGCAGGCTGAACCAAGCCTTGGGGGAGGTGGGGCTGAAGAAGGAGGAAAGGAGATTGGAGGAAGGAGAGGGAGGGAGGAAGGGAGAGACAGCTAAACTTCTGAGAGGCCACCCTGTGCCCTAGGGGGTGACCAACCTTCTTTTGAACAGAGCCCAGAACTGCTTTGCCCAGACCTGAGCTGGGGGCAGAGATATGGAGAAAGGGCTGGGATGACATGGCAGACTCTGGCGAGTCCTGCTCTCGCTGCCCTGCTCCCAGAGGCGTCAGCTCTCTGTCACCTGTTCCCCACCTGCCGGAGTGGAGTCTTGCCAGAAGCTCACAGGAGACCCTGGGTGGACCTTTGCTCCTAGCTGATTTTTATTGCCCAGGCTGGAATGTGGTGTAATGGGCTGATCTCTGAAGACTACCTCCGCCAGCCCTGGAGGCCCAGAGGGGTAGGGTGGGCCATGTGCAGGCAACCCCCCAACACACAGATGCACACACATGCACATGCACACACATGCCCACACAGGGATACACATACATGCACACACATACCCACATGTACACATTCACAGATGCATGCACCCACAAACATGCCCAAACACATTTGCACACACGTACATACTTGTACACACACGCACACTCATGCATGCACACTCTCCACACACATGCATGCACACACACCATATGTATACATGCATGCACACAGGCACACATACAGACACATGACCACACATGCACTGACATAGGCACTCACACCTCTATGTATGCACATACACGCACACCCCCACACAGGTGCAGGATGCACACACGCTCACACAATGCCTCCACCCAGGAATGCACATATGTACACACAAACCTCCATGTGCACACATGCAATGCACATGCACACATAATTCCATGCACATGACACATGCACACTGACACGTACACAAACATAAGCATACACACATGCCTCCACACAGGATGTGCACACACATACACATGCACATGCACGCACACACTCCTCCACACATGCACACAAGTACACACACACACGCACACCTCACCTCCTCCAAGCTCCACGGTGCTCCACACTGTCCAGCCCCTCACACTTCCTTGTACACAGCATGCAGGTACAAATGACAGACACCTGGCACAGAGTGGGGTGGGGACTCACCTTGAGGTCTCTGTGGACGACCCCCATTTGGTGACAATGGAGAACAGCCTCCAGGATCTGCTGGATGCAGTGACTGTGGCAAACAGCAGGTGGGTTAGTGCGAGTGGCCCTGGGGAGCAGCAAGGGGAGGCACTGGGGGCAGGGGCAATGGTGCTGTGTGGCCTGGGGGGACCGGGGGACAGACGGAGTCAAGTGGAGAGGAGATCCAGGAAGGGCCTCCGGGGCTCCTTCCTTACCTCCAAGGCCAGCAACCCTGGCCCTGGCCCTGCCTTCCCCTCTGGGCCTGAGTCTGCTCAGAGGGCATGGTCAGGCACACAGAAGTGACTTTCAAAGGAAACACCCTTGTTCCCAGGCTCCTGTTGGCCAGGCCTGACCCTAAGCTGGACACACTCAGGAGGGAGGCCAGGCTGAGCCCGTACCCTGCAAGGCAGGCTGCAGTGAGCGGGACGGGTGAGCGGGGCAGGTGAGAGGGCCAGAAAACTTGCAAGGCAGGGAAGGGCCAAGGCGGCCGGGGGTGGGGTAGGAGGCTGTCGGGGTGTGTGGGAAAGCCCCAGGCACCAGGACCCTGCTCCCAGCTGGAGCAGAAATAATGTGCTCAGGGACATGTTATTTCATTTTAATAAAAACTGAAACCTGGCCGGGCACGGTGGCTCAGGCCTGTAATTCCAGCACTTGGGGAGGCCAAGGCAGGTAGATACCTAAGATAGGAGTTCAAGACCAACCTGACCAACATGGTTCAATCCTGTCTCTACTAAAAATACAAAAATTATCTGGGCATGGTGGCTCATGCCTGTAATCCCAGCTACTCAAGAGGCTGAGGCAGGAGAATTGCTTGAACCCAGGAGGCGGAGGTTGCAGTGAGCTGAGACTGCACCACTGTACTCCAGCCTGGGTGATAGAGCAAGACTGCATCTCAAAAAAAAAGAGTGAAACCTAAGCTTCCACATTGGCCAGTGGCTGCCATGTTGGCTCAGTTCCGGCAGCACTGGGGGCATTTAGCTCAGCTCCCAGGAATCCGAGGGGCGGGGCAGGGGGTCCTGTGTGCACAGCCCTGAGCACACGGAGCTTCCCCTTCAACCCTTCCTCTCGTAGTTAGGAAGGGCTGTTGACAGAAGTTCCCAGGCCTTCCAGGCCATGGCTGGGAGGAGAGGTCCAAGCTGCTCTCAGGCCACTTCCCTGACACCTGTCCTAGAGCACATCAGACCCAGGGCCACGGAGCCCCTGCACACACCAAAAGCCTCTGGCTTGAACCTCCTTCTGCCCAGGTAACCCTGGAGCCCAACACAAGCCCCTCCTGGGGACAGCACCACACTGCATGGTGATGGCAGCCACCACCTTTGAGGCTGCTCTGCTGCTGATGCCCACTGGGCTGGGGTCTCAATCACTGCCCCACTGGGCAGGGTGAAGGGAGGGACAGGAAGACCCCCCTCAAGACCCTTCTATCCCAGCCAGATCCTGGGGGCACAGAAAGGTGACCAGGGTCAGCAGGATGAGTGGGCTTTGTTTTCCTAACAGCAAATTCAAAGAGGACACGGGAGGCCAGCCCTCTTCCTCAAGTGGCTCCCACCCTTCCTGGTCCTATCTGCACAGCATCAGTCATTGCATTACAAAGTCAATCTGAGTTTCCTCCTGAAGAAACCCAGCCCTCAGAGTCCTAATGGGTGACAGACTCCTGAGGTGTCCAGGAGTGGGGTCAGAAGAAGCCAGGTGGGGTCAGAAGAAGCCAGGTGGGGTCAGGAGAAGCCAGATGGGGTTAGGAGAAGCCAGGTAGGGTCAGGAGGAGCCAGGTAGGGTCAGGAGAAGCAAGGCCCAAACTCACGGGAGACAGCCCTGCGGTGGTGTCACTTCAATGTCACCAAGAGTGGGAGCCAGAATCCTATCTCCATGCTCCATGTGCCCTGGGGTGCCCTGCCCCTTCTTCCCACGTGCCCTGGGTGTCCTGCTCCTTTGCTGAAACATCCTCGCTTCTTCTACCTGGCCCTCACTTAGAGACTTCCTGGTCTCTCTTCTGCTCCTACTACTCCTGTGGGGTGCTGTGTTTCTGCAGTCAGCCCATGACAAGCCACTGTGAGGAGCATCCAGTTCCCATGATGCCCTCATCTGCCTGGAGCAGCCCCTCCGTCTCCCCATCTGTTCCTTTGAATAGTCAGCTGTGTCCTGGAGAGGCCTGTGAGCCTGAGCAGGCTGGCTGGCTGGTGGTGGGGGCTCCCTCTGGTGGGCAAACTCAGCTACCTGCAGGACGGGAAGCCTAGGCAGTGGGGACGGGCTGAGGCTGTGGGGTGAGATGTCCGCAGCCATGCAGATGGCTCCTTCATGCCCTGCTGAGTGATATGGATGGTAGCAGTGCTGGACACATCCTGTGGTCAGTCTTGGCCCTGGTCTGTCCTGGGGAGAGCGTAGATGTTGGCCCCCTCCTGCCCAATCATGTGCACTTTCTGCCAGCCCATCCCCGTGGTCCATCACTGCCCTGAGGGCTGGACTTTCCTCTACGGTTGGGCGCTTTCCTGGTGGAGTAATGTGTACAGAGATTGTGGTCACCAGAAAGTGCCACCTCCCTGGACACCAATAGGGGCTCGGCCTACACCACATACACCTCACAAGCTACTGCTAAGGGCAAGAGCTGAACCTTCCTCTTTGACCTTCTTTCAGCCTCAGACCTATAGAGTCCTGGCTGCAGCTCTGGCCACACCCTGTATCCTCCTTCCTCCCCAGCTGACATCACCCCCGACTGCACAGTCAGCTCGCCCAGTCCTCCTTGGCCTCCCCCCCTGGTGGTACAGGGCCCCAAACCAATGCCAGAGATACAGGGACTGTGGGGCCAGCATCGGATCTGCGCCTCTCCATGGCATCCTCGAGGGTATGACGTGGACATGGTGTCCTCGAGGGTATGACGAGGGTATGACTTGGCACGTGTGGCTGAGACCAAGTCCACCCCGTCCACTGTCATGCAGGCTCCAGGTCCTGCAAATGCACGGTCAGGAACGAGTTGGCTGAGCAAGTCAGGGGTCGCCAAGACGAGGCCAGGCCAGGTTGCACCCAGAAAGGCAGGTGGGATGGGACAACCACCCGGCCTGGGACAGCCCACTCAGGGCGGCCCCCTGCACTTCAGGGACCCGTCCTCACATTGCTCTTGCCCTGGTGTAATCTAAGACCATGGCCCTTGGAGGATGTGAGACCTCACGGTCACCCCGTCTTATCTGCCCTCACCTTCTGTTTACATCACTGTCTTCTCCAGAAAAGGCTGATCCTTCTAGGATTTGTTTTGTTTTGTTTTCACATTTTGGACAGGTTAGGATGTCACTTTTGTAGTTAGAATTGTTCCCAAGCAGCATTTGGGATGTTATTCTCAGCCTGGGCTCTGATTTCCTCCCCCTCCAGGGACAGTCAGCATTGCACAGGGTCCCTTCAGCCATCTTTCAAAAGCCACATTGCTTTTTTGGGGGGGAGGGGGGACAGTTTTGCTTTTGTTGCCCAGGCTGGAGTGCAGTGGCACAATCTCGGCTACAAGAACCTCCACCTCCCGGGTTCAAGCGATTCTCCTGCCTTAGCCTCCACGGTAGCTGGGACTACCTACAGGTGCCCGCCAGGACATCTGGCTGATTTTTGGATTTTTAGTAGAAACGGGATTTCACCATGTTGGCTAAGATGTTCTCGAACTCCTGACCTTGTGATCTGCCTGCCTCAGCCTCCCAAAGTGCTGGGATTACAGGCATAGTAAGCGTGAGCCACCGCGCCCAGCCACCACATTGCTTTTTAAGGTTTTTTTTTTTTTTTTTTTAAATGGGTTCTAAATGTTTTAAACTTAGCTTTCGCTGTTTGAAGAAGCCATGGAGACCCTTCAGTTTCCCCATAAACTCCAAAAGAAGACCGGCTTCCTCCTAAGAGGAATTTCCAGCCTTGTTGATTAGAAATGAGTTTGGAAAAGCAGTGTCTGTCCTGTTTCTTCTTGTTCCTGAATGAGCTCATCCAGAACTCCATCAGCTGCCCCACAGGCAGCAGCTCCAGGCCCGGGCAGGCACCGGCGGGCACTGGCACTCTTGCCCCACTGCGTCTGTGTGGTTGGGAAAACACCTCCCTGTCCAGGTCTGGCCCGGAGGCCTCAGCCCATCCTATCCCGTGCCTGTCCTTCTTTACCTTTGTCTCAGCACAACCCTGACTGTTCAGCCATGGGGCTCTGCCCTGGGGTAGGTCAAGCCCCCTCCTTTGCCACAGTCCTGCCCTACGAGTTCATGGCGATGCCTATGGGGTAGGGGTCCACAGGGACCTCTGTCAGACTCCCCACCAGGCTCCACTGCCTGAAGGCTGAAGCTCATGCACAGAGATCAAAGCCGCAGTAGCCTCAGGCAGGGCATGAGGCTCACCCAGAAAAAAAGGAGCCCGAGGCTGCTGAAGCCTGAGCAGGGGCCCTGTGCCCAGGCTGTCGCACCAGCGGGGCCAACCCAGGAAGGGTTATCCAGGAGGCTCCTTCCCTCTCCCTGTCCCCTCTCCAGCTCAGCCTCCAAAATCACTGCCCAGATCCCGGCACTCCCCACAAGACGCAGGCTGTGTGCCCCTCCCTCCCCACAAGTCTGGCTACCTAACACCCTCCATTTGAGCCGCAAACCCTCAAGGGAGGCAGTGGAATTTCTAAGAGAACATCTCTTCCGGCTGGTTCCAAGGGACTCCATACACCAGGGGTGCCCTCTGCATCAGGGGTCCTCTGGGAGGACGTGGGGAGACCCAGGTCAGAGCAGGGAACACGAAAGTTTGCTCTGGCAAAGGTTCCTGGGACTTCCTGAGGACCCTAGCAACCCTTCACTTCTCCCTTCCCGAGCCCACCCTGAGGCTGCTCCAGACCTCACCAGGCCAGCTCTGTGGCCCCCGGCCCACAGCAGAAGATCTGGGGTTCAAGCAGGTGGGGACTCCTGCTGCCAGGCCAGGCACCCAGGGCCCGCCATAGGGAGGGGCTGTGGGTGTGTGTGGGGTGCTGTGTGCCCATCAGATGCTGAGCAAGAAGTCAAGGCTGAGCCTGTGGACTGGGCGGAGGGGCTGGCGCTCTGGAGGGAACTGGCCTGGTGTGATGAGGAAGCCACACGTGACCCCTTCGCCCTCGTGGCTGGAGCTGCCCCATTCCAGCCTCCGCCTGGGGCAGCAAGGGGTGAGCATTCCAGGGAGGCTGACTCTCAAGCTGCCCCCAGAGTGGGAAAAACAGGTTGTGTCTCCTTCCCCAAACCTGATGAACACAAAGAGCCCTCAACCGTACAGGGGGCCGAGAGGGATCACAGGAGCAGAGGGCACCCTGGGGCTGCAGGACATCGATAAGGAGGGAGAGGGTGGGGAGCAGGGGGCAGGGGAGGAGGAGGGTGGGAGTGAGGGGCCTGTGATGGTGCACGGGCAGGGGGTGGGGGTGGGGGAGGGTGGGGCTCTGGTCTAAGGCACTCCTGAGTCCTAGGTGTGGGATCCGATCTGCCAATGGGAGGCTCTAGGAGGCCACGTGCCCCTACCCTTGCCCAGCATCTGTCCACCCCTCACGACACTCGGCCCACCCCAGGGTCCCACCTGCCCGTCCGGTGTCTGGATAGGCCAGCAGGGACCCTCGAGTCTACCTGGCCAGCAGGCAGGCGGCAGCACGCTGTGTGACATACCTCACCCCAGAAGCTCAGAGCAGGGGTACAGGGCTCCGTTCCACCTTCTATTTTTCTTCAAAGTAGAATATAAAGGAAAACCTCATCTTCCTCCGCTCCAAAGGCACAGGCCTCTCTGGGCTGTTCTGCAAACTACAAAGTCCTTCCTCACGCGTCCTTAGAAAAGAAGCCAGTGCCCTGAACCCCATAGAAGTCTGGGGCCAAGAGAGTCACCAGCCCTGTCCCTCTGCCTGTCCAGCTCTGGGGGAGACCCAGTGGCACCAGAGCTGCTCACACAGCACATCAGGGATGCAGGCCACGTCACGATGGGCAAGGCTTCCTGCTGGTGCAGAGGCAAGTCACATCAAACTACTTCTGCTACTTTAAAAAAAGTACTCATTTTTCTGGATCAGAAAAGTAATACATACTCATTTCAAAAAGAGCCTCTTTTTTTTGAGACAGAGTTTCACTCTTGTTCCCCAGGCTGGAGTGCAGTGGTGCGATCTCAGCTCACTGCAACCTTCAGCTCCTGGGTTCAAGCGATTCTCCTGCCTCAGCTTCCTGAGTAGCTGGGATTACAGGCATGCGCCACCACACCCGGCTAGTTTTGTATTTTTAGTACAGAAGGGGTTTCCCCATGTCAGCCAGGCTGGTTTTGAACTCCTGACCTCAGGTGATCCACCCTCCTCAGCCTTCCAAAGTGTTGGGATTACAGGCGTGAGCCACCATGCCTGTCCTAAAAAGGGTTTTTAAATAGACAAAGAAGATACAAATTTAAAATCATCCACAATTTCACCACCTAAAGTGGTCCACCGTTAGCCTTATTTATGTATTTATTTTTTGGAGACTGGGTATCACTCTGTCACCCAGGCTGGAGTACAGTGGTGCAATCTTGGCTCATTCCAACTTGGAACTCCTGGGCTTAAAACATCCTCCCATCTCAGCTTCCCAAGCAGCCGGTGTGCATGTGTGCCACCGTGCCTGGCTAATTTTTTAAAGTTTTTGGTAGAGAGAGGGTCTCATTATATTGCCCAGGCTAGTCTCAAACTCCTGACCTCAAGCAATTCTCCTGTCTTGGCCTCCCAAAATGTTAGGATTACAGATGTGAGCTACCATGCCTGGCCTCAGGTTTTTTGGTTTTTTTTAAATACACAACTCTGTGGCACAGCAGGGTAGGCAGAGCATGGTGGGCAGAGAGTAACACCATCAGCTGTCCCTGAGGTGAGATGTACTGTTATGAAAGACATCCTTGTCAGGGGTCAGGGTGGCATCTGACCTTGGCCACAGCAGGCTACCAGTGGCCTATGCTTCTGGGGTCAGGGCCCTGTCACCTCCCCAGGTGACATCTGCCGTCCCTCAATCTGGTCTCCAGCAGCCAGGCCACAAACAGCCATCTCTGAGACCATCTGTCCCTCTTCATCCCCCTGGGGAGGGCTGGCCTTGTGGGGGGAGCTGCCTAGGGTCCATGGGAAGTCCCGCCTGGGTGGACCCAAAGTCCCTCCATTCCATCCCCACACTGGGAGGCCAACAGACCCAGGGCCAAGCCCTCTGAACAGGGCCTTGGGTGTGGAGGAGAGGTGGCCTCTTGGCTCTGTGCTGAGGTTACAAGTTGCCTTTGGTTTCATGCCCATTGCCCTGGGGTGTGGGTGAGCAAGGATGTACAGGAACAGACATGGGTTAGAAAGAGCAGCAGGAGTGGGTGTGGGAGGGATGGGGAGGGTATAAGGGAAGAGGGACAGGACAGTGTGAGGGCTCTGCACCCACCTGGCATCAGCCTCGCTGTAGTACTCTCTTGCCACAATGTCTTCAAAGAGCTCCCCACCAGTGACCCTATGGGAGAAGCATGAAGGGGTCACAGATTCTGGAGACCCCTGTCACACTGTCACCTCCATTACTACCACCACCACCACCATCATCCCCCTCATCACTGATGTCACCATCACCAGCATCATCACCATCACCACCACCACCAGCTGCCATCACCACCAACCACCATCACTCTCACTACGACCATCACCACCACCATCACGAGTATCATCATCAGCATGATCGCCACCATTACCAACTACCATCACCACCACTATCATCACTTCATCATCAGTAATGTCACCATCGCCAGCATCATCACCATCATCACCACACCATCACCATCACAACCACCATCATCATCAATCACTGTCACCACCACCATCATCACCACCACCATCACTGTCACCATCACCACCATCACACCATTACCATCATCATCACCACCACCATCACCAGCACCACCACCTCCACCACATTACCATCACCACTTGGGACTGACAGCTTACCAGTGGTGACTTATCTATAATGACATTTAACATATCAGTGCTCACAACCACTCTATGACATTGGCCATTATTATACTTCACTTATGGGTAAGAAAACAAGTTTCAAAGATTTGGTGACTTGCCCAGAGCGGTCAGCACAGGAGCTCTGGCTCTGGGTCTGCACTGTTACACCCAGGCCTTATGATTCAAATTCCAAGTCTGAGAAGTTCTGGTCCCCCTTCCTCAACATTCCTCCATCCGCACTTAGGGCCAGAGTGGTGGCCCTCAAGCAGGATCAGAGGCCCAAGGACACGGTGCCTAAATCTGGCCTCCCTTGTGGGCCTTGGTCTTGAGGTGTTCAAAGTCCCGTCTCTAGGAGAAGAACAGAGATGATGGGCAGAGGGGAGGTCTCTGCCCACTCTGCTCTGTGCCCCCACCCAGTGAGTAGTCATCGGACCCTAAGGTCAGGAGAGACCCTGTGAGCAGAAGCTGCAATGTGAAGGGCCTCTGGGAGCCGGGTAATGTGGGCATGGAACAAAAAGGTGGAGGGGCTGAACGCACCACAGGGAGTGGGATGGAGCCCTCCGCAGGTCTGCCCAAGCCCCTCACCCACTCAGCCTGCTTGAGTCTGCTGGAAGACTCCTGCCCCTGAGGAGGCTCCCATACCGCCCCTGTGACCCTATGTGTAAGGTGGGCCTGTGAGCCCCGCGCCTCTCCTCTGCCTCCACACCCTCTTCCCCATCCCCACGCCTGCTCTGCTGCACGGCCCAGGTGCTGTGGCCTCTCTGCCTTGCAGTTTTCCCCATTGGTTCTGGAAAGTGGGACTTAGGTCTTCCTCATTTTTGGCCCAGCACTTGGGGCTGGGCTGGTCCACAGCGGGGAAGACCCAGGGAGTGGGGACTGTTGAACATCTGACTCTGGCACGTGCGGGTGCTCTCAGCACTGGAGAAAAAGAGAAGCGAGGGCGTGTTGAATGTTGGCTCACCCCTGCTCCAGCTAAGTGCATTCCCTGATGATCCCACTGAATCCCCTCAAAATCCTTCGAGCATCGTGAGGATGCATTGCACCGGGAAGACACCCAAGTCCCTGGCACCTAGCAGGGCATTAAAGGACTGGGCGTTCCCTTTCCTTAGTCTGAAAGGGCCCACATAGGACCCCATGCCCCCTTTTCCTTAGGCTGTGGGGGACACATGGCTGATTCTAGGCCTCAGCCATGGCGCCTGTGGGAGCTTCTGTCCTCTGGGTGTGCAGGTGTGTGTGAGACCCTCTATTCGCAGACCTGGTCCTCAAGCCCTGTGACATTCCCAAGCAAGGGGAGTCAGAATATCTGTCAATCCCTCAGAATCCACAGAGTCCCCAAACTACCATGGGGCCTCAGGGCCTCCTGAAGGTGATGCCAGCCAACCCCAGAAACTGCTGTCCTGCCCCTCTGCTGCCCTGGAGACTGGCCGCAGCACAGGGGCCATGGAGGATTGTGGGGAAGACATGCAGGGTCCTTCCTGACTCACCAGCCAGTTTCCTCTTCCCAGCCGCCTCAGGGCCTCCCTGACACCTGCCTGGCATGTGCTTGGCAAGGCGGGAGACACATGAGTCTCTCACATGGGCACACACATGCACGAACACACCACCCTCTCTCCTCCTCAGCTCCTGTAACACATGCAGCCATCTGTTGCATCAGGGCCCCTGGACAGGACCCCCACCTCCAGTCTCTCCATTTCCTGGGAAAAGAGGCCGGTGGAGCTGTGGTGAGGCCCACAGGTGTGGCAGCAAGCCTGCCGGCTCCCCAGGGCCACAGGACAGACATTTCAGGACACAGCCTCTGCCAGGCATTGGCAACTGTGTCCTGGGTCAGCTCCAGTCACCTGGCTGGTGATTTGAGTTGGTGTCTTGTGGGACCATGTAGGGGAACCTGAGAGGTGGCCAAGCCCCTTCAGGGAGAGTCTCGGCTTCGCTAGGCCAGAGAAACCCACGTGGAAAGAGGCCTCCTCAGGCCTACATGTGCCGTGGCCTGATGTCTGTCACTTGAGGAAGGAGGAGCTGAGAGGGCAGCCCCCATGCAGGTTCATCCTATCTCTGCTCAGCCTGCAGGCTCACAGCAGCCACGGGGAGGGCCTGGGGTAACCATGGCAATAGCACCAAGGCCGGGCTTCCCTGGCTGTGCGGCTGTCTGGAGGCCACAGGGGCAGGCGAAGGCCTATGGGCCCTTGCCCAGGTCAGGGTCCTGGAGCAGCACTGACTCACAGACAGCTAAATATAGCACTGCTTAGCAGGAACTGTCAAAAGTAAGGGAGATGAGATCACTGCTTCTAAATCCGGCAGGAAGTGAGAGGCGGCATCGGCCCCAGACACCTTCTCACTGAGCTACTGCACACACATTCATAAAACACACATGCACACACATGCACACTCATGCAAACACACATGTACACATACATGCACACAAACACACATGCATACACTTGTGCCAGTGCACCCACATGCACACACCTCCACACATTCACTCACACATTCACACAATACACACCACATGTATGCACATCCCCACCCATATGGCTCACAGCCCCCATGTGCAAACACCCACACACATGCACACATGTGCACATGCTCACATTTCACAGCCACACTCATGAACACACACACGTGCGCTCATGCCAGCCAGTGGGGCCCCAGTCCAGCCGGGATGAGGGCACCAAGGAAAGGAAAGTGAATGCAGCTGCTGACTATTCCTCTGGGGTCCACCCACCCACTGCCTCCAGTGTGCCCTGTGCTGTGTGGAGGAGAGAGAGGGCTCAGGAAGTCAGCCCCGCCTCCGTGTGCTTCAGTAACCCCAGTGCAAAGCAAATGAGGAGAGGCGAAGGAGGCTGGGCCGGGCACAGCGTGGAGCAAGGTGACCAGCAGCAGAGGCACACTCAAGGGAGTGGCCAGCCTGCGGGGTTCAGACTATTCCCTGGGGCTGGGGAGGCTGTAGATCCCACCCTGAGCCAAGGCCGGGAGTGAGTGCAGGCGAGAGTCCCCAGCTCTGGAACTTACAGATCGAAGACCAGGTAGTGGAAGCCCTCCTCGGAGATGCTGTCATGGAGACGCACTGTGGGGACAGAGAAGCCATGAGGGGACGGCAGGAGCCCAGGACACACCCCCTGCCTGCCTCCGTACCTGTCCAGGCACACCACCCGCTATGTAAGCCCTAGTTCTGCCCACAGGATCGGGCTGGGGAGGGCCCAGGTGGGCAGGCTGAAGGGCAGGGCTGAGCAGAGTGCTTTGGGCCCTGTGGGCCAGTTGGCCACCCGGCGAGTACCCACAGGGCCTGTGGACTGTGGCCCTGCCCTTCCAGTCTGGTCACCTGTCTCCTTCTGCCAGAGAGAGACCAGGCCCTCTTGGTCCCGGCCTGGGCCTCAGCAGCTCCCAAACACCACGGAGATCAACAGGAGCAGCTCACACCAGCAACCCCCGGAAAGGAGCTGCCGCGAAGCTCCACTTGACGAGAAGCTGGGACAAAAACCACTCACTGTTTGTCCCGGATCTTCCCAGGGTTGCCCTCAGCCTTCAGGCTCTGCGTCTCTGCTGTGTGCTGCTGGCACAGGCTGGTGGGCAGGGTCCCTACCCGAAGCAGCATCATCCAAAGGTTTGGGCCCTGAACTCCGATTCCAAGCTGGCTGGTCAGCAGGGTGGACCACCATCATTCCCTCCCTGCTCCTTGCACAACTTCCCGTGACAATCTATGTGTGGCGTGCCTGGCCCTGGAACTCTGCCTGGTGCAGGGCAGGAGCTGGTCAGGGTGTGATGAATGAACCAGAGAATGGTGGAAGAGGCGAGGGAACAGTGAGTGATTTCAGCACAAAGCAAGCAACCCCAAGGCCTGCTTCTCCTTGAGCTGGAGATGTGTCCTGTACTAGGCAGCAAATATTTTCTAGGAATGACTCATTTTGGACACTCTCCCACATGCCGACTCTGATGATTGCTAGAACGAGGACGATGACAGCCAACACGCCAGGGCTGGTCTCAGCACTTTGTGTGTGTTATTTCATTTAACCTCCCAGCCACCCCGAGGAGTTGCAGATGAGGAAGCTGAAGCACAGAGAGGTTAGGTAAGCAGCTGACAGTCACACAGCTCACAAAAAGCAGAAAAGGGCTGTGGACTCAGTGGGCAGTCTGGCTTGAGGGCCTGCACTCCACCAGCCTCGTTCCTTCTAGTCCTCAAGTCCTGGGAAGATGAACCTCTGAGGTGTGGCTCTCTACCACTTGAGACTGGGCCACAGATGCTGAACGGGTAAGGCACAGCTGCCTTCTCCCAGGTTCGCAGGCCCCTGGGCCTCAGGCACAAGCAGCCCCTTCCTCGCCCGCTCTGGCGCTGTCCCAGTTTCTAACTGGCTGCCGGTGCCCTCCCTCCTCTGGCTCTGGTTCTCCTAGGGGCCTGGCCTGAGAGTGTCCTTACATCCGGGAACTCCACATGGCCTCTGTGGCCTAGGCCTCACCCTGCAGATTGCTGCAGCCCCAGACCAATGGCCCTCCTCAGTCCCTAAACCCCAGGCAAAATGCCCTTCACCAAGGGCAGGCCAGGCCCAGAAGCCTCCACAGAGTCAGAAAATACAGGGCCGGCCCTGCCCCTGCCACTTGTACTGGCTGTGTGACCTGGAGCAGGTTCTCAGCCCATCTAAGCCCCAATCTGCCCCTCTGTGAAATGGGATACATAGCACCTCTTCATGGGGTGGCCGTGAAGATCAATTATGTAGCCTGTGTGGTGTTCTGAGACAGGGAGCACTTGGAAAACCATAGCTCTGTGACCGTCACCATCATGGTTATCACCTGAGTGTGAAGAATCCCAGGTGACCAATGCTCAGCACCAGGGTCTGGGGCCCACTTAGAGTCCTGGAAAGTTTTGCAAGCCCAGAATGGAAAGACCTGCTCTGTTCTCTGCTCCGTCCAGCCTTGTGGCTGGACGCCAAGCCCCGCCAAGCCCCATTCTCAAAGAGCAAGGTCTTCCCCAGACCATGTCCTGCGTCAGCTCCCTGCGGTGAGGGCAACTCTTGCCCACTGGGGCTGCCTGGGAGCCGGTGCTGACCTCTGCCAAGCAGGGTCTCCACCAGCTAAGGCGCTCATCTGAAACCAGTGTCCCCTTTCCCTCTCACCCCTCTCCGGTTGACTTCTGTCCCAAAGGCAAGGATGGCGGCTCACTAGGTCCCCTGGACCCTCTCTTTGCTCCTAGGCTCCCACTCTACCCAGGCTGGCCTGTGTGTCCCTAAGACACAGCGGGTCCCAGAGGCCCACCAACATCCCACTTCTAGCAGCCACCTGTCAAATCTCTGGGGTGAAAATGCTCACCCCTCCCCACCACTCCTTTCTGGTTGGGGTTGCCCAATAAGCCCTTTTGGGGGCCCAGGAGGCCGACCCTCTGAGCTGCCCACCTGGGACATGCTGCTTGAAACTCCCGCACTCAGAGCAGAGGTAGTCCCAGGGGCCATGGAGGGGATGCCCCCCCAGATCCCCAGCCGGCAGCTCCAAGGGTGGCCTGTAATCCGTGAAGCTACCTGGCTGCTCCCTGGGGGCCCTGCAGGGCCATCCTCATGGTTGGGGCTGCCCCTGCCCTCAAGCACACATCTCCCATGCAGCCCCGGTGGGGTGGGGCAGAGGCAGATGGGCTCCGGGGTGGTGGTGGGGGGGATCCCACCTCCTCAGCAGGAAGCAGGTTGCTCAGGCCAGATGGAGCCACTGGGGGTCTGTGTGGGGAGTCTGGGCCATGTGCATGTGGACACTTTTTAAAAAAACATTTTTAACATTTTAAAAATAGTTATATACTTATTTTAGTGGCTTAGAAGAAAACCTAACTGGCATATCAGACGCAAATTCAGACAGGGCTAAGAAAAAAGTGAATTGCCAGAAAATCTCTTTAAATAAAAACAGTAAGCAAACAACACTGTGGGCAGCATACAGAGGTGGCAAACCAAGTCCCGGGTTACTAAGAGGAATCAGGGTGAAGAGTCCAGTCTGGACACAGTGGGACAGGTAGGCAGCGGTGAATCTCGCCAGGAGCTAAGCTGCAGCAGCAGGACCCTGAAACTCGTCTGGGGCTGCAGCCTTGCCTAGGCCCTGGAGGTGGGGCTGCCGCTTTCCATGCTGGGGCCCTGCTGGGTCCAGTGGGGCACTTGCCCCTCTGCCTAGCTCATCAGTGAAGCACCAGATGAGGCAAGGTGGTTCTAGCCCCCTAACCCAGGCAAGGAGGGTTCGATGACCTTCGGAGCCAGGCGAAGGTGAGTGTAGATGTCCCAGGCTCCCAAACAGGCTCCCAGTCCCCAGGTGTCCCTTTGGAACAAGCATGCCTGGGCAAGTGAATCAGAGCTTTGGAGGAAAGGGCCCACAATCCACCTGACAGGTGCCTCCGAGGCCAAGAGCGGCTGCCATCCCCAAGGTGTTTCCTAGCTGCTCCCCGACACGGGCAAGGCCTGAGCTCCAGGCTCCAGATGCCCCATGGAGCAGCTGACTCTGAGCCAGTGCCACTTGTCCTCAGACCATAGCTCCAGGTGCCCTGGGCCAGCGAGAGAAAGCAGTCAGGGGCTCTCAGCCCGTGGATGGCATGTGCTGGGGCCTTTGGTGGGTCTTTGTTTTCCTTGTAATTGGGCCATCGTGTAGCTTTTTTGAAGCCACAGAATGTTGAGGTCCCTGTGTGTTCTCAGTGGAGCGGCAGCTCAGTGTTATGGGGTCACATGCTGGGCACTGGCTTCACGGAGGGCTCTCTGAGGAATGTGTCCTTTACCTTCCTCTGCAAGGCCCAAAGGACAGAGTGGGGTGGGGAAGGGACCTGTCCAGTTGGGTGGAGCCGGGTACCCAGAGCCCCGAGTTGGGGCTGTCCTGGCTCTGGGTACCCCCCGGAATCATGTCACACAGGACAAAGTCCTCAAGGTCAGGGGAGGAGTGGGGGTGTCCTCAGGGGCTTCTGATGGGATATTTCAACAGAAAAGAAAAGGAAGCCTTTTTGCATCTCTTTGAAAGTCTGGTGAGAAACAGGACAGGGCTGCTGCGAGGGAGAGGCTGGGGGACCCATCCCCCTGCCCCACCCAGGGCTGCTCACCGATGTTGGAATGCTTCAGAAGGCGGCAGATCCGAGCCTCTCTCTCCAGCTTCTGGTGATCTGGAGGACAGAAAAGGACAAGGTGTGACCTCCTGCCCCAGCAACTGGTGACCCACGGATCGCCCACGTCAGGAGAGGCCCACGAGGGTGTGCCACGGCCTCCAAAGAAGAGAGGAGTGATGTGACCCCCCAGTGATGGTTGTGCCCCCGCCACGGGAACACCCTTCATGGCACCCCCTAGGCCACTGGTGGCAGGGCTGGGGCAGGGACCAGCCAGCCAGCTTGTGTTGGGGTAGACAGGCCCACTCAGGTGGTGAGCACTACTAACTCGGGGCTAAAAGTTTCCCTGGATGATTCAAAGTCAGCAGCGCACTGATTTAATCCTCCACTTACTTGTCCTAATTCCATACTCTTTGGAGCTTTTGGCTGAAGCCAAATTTGTTCTTCCGAGGCAGCGGAGGGGCCGTCAGAATGGGGCCGGGAGGGGGTGAGAGTGTGCCCCGACGCTGGCTGGCAGGAGGAGGGGAAAGCCTCAGAGAGGCCTTGCCTGGGGGATGGGAGTGAACTGGCGGTGACGCGGGAGGTGGACCCTCCGGCCCAACCACTCTCCTCCCACCCCAGGAGGTGCAGGGCCCAGATCCCCGGACGCGGGAGGCATGGAGATGACTGGTACCCTTTGGGTGGCCCCACCACTGGTCCCCAAAAGATGGAGCAACTTATCTGCCAGAAATTTTACATTTCAAATAGAAGCAGGAGGTTTTTAAAAACTAATGGAGATGGTAATAGCAAAACCCAAAACCCCACACTTCCACCATGCTGCAGTCACACAGGGTCCCACACCACAACGAAACGAAGCCCTCCACCAACCCCATGTGCGGGCAGCACCCACAGCCTAATGGTGTGGAGGGAACAAGCAGCAAAGGAGGACCCACAGCGTGCTCTTATTTGCACAAAGGTCGAAAGTAGACAGGTGGGCACAGCTGAGCGTGGGGAGCTGCAAGGAAAGGCCAGCGCATTTCAGAGTTGAGGACGGACTGGGGAGGGTCGCGTCTGGAACCCCTCCACCTGCCCAGTGCTGAATCCCACCACGGGAAAGGTGAGCAGGGCCCGGGGCACAGAATTAATATACCAGACAAGGCCTCAGGGATGCCTCCTTCGCCAGGAACGCCCAGTAGCGCCCAGGAGCAGGGAAAGAATGAGGCTCTGCCACTTCACAACCGTCCTGGGGAAGAATTAAAACCTCTGATCCCTGCACCTGCCGGAAACTCGTCCACCTGCAGGAAGGGAGGCCTGGCTGAGTCACGTCAGGGGTCAGTTTCCCTGGAGCAGGTGTGGCGGTGGCGGTCTAGGGGTACAGGACATGCTGCAAACAAGCATCTGCCTTGAGTGAGAAAGCCACGCCCACAGATGGGAAGGTCCCTGGGAGCGGCATTCTCTGGCTCCCCCCTCCCAGGACAGGCACTCGTCTCCCTGCCCTGGCCACCTGGCTGCCATCTGCTTCAAGCTTAGCCTCCTGGCATCCCACGAGAGGGATCCAGAGGGATCTGGCAGAGCCTCCAGGTGGCATGGAGGAAGTCAGACCCCGCCCCGCTGTTTTGCTGGAAGCCCCGGGCATCCCTGCTCCCTCCCCGACCTGGACACCCAACTCAGCAAGCACTGAACAGTCTTCCAGAATACCCCAGTCGCCGATCCTCCCTCCCTCCCCTTTCCCCTCCCACTGAAGTGGGAGCTGAGGTGCCAGGAGCCTCAGGGATTTGTGATGGCGGAACTGGAACCAGCCCAAGTGTCTGTCAGCATCAGAATGGAAAAATCAAACATAGTCACAATAGCATACACATGGCGTGGGCTCAGTTCTCCTATCTACATGGAGCTCAAAACCCAGCATCACTGGACATACCTGGGGAGGGGAGGGGCCCACACATGAGACCCGACTCCAGCGGAAAGCAGGGGACCAACTCTTGCAACATCTCCGACCCCCCTCCCTCTGGGGCGGGAGGAGGGAGGGCTTTCAGGGTGCAGGATGGTGAGTTCATGGGGTTACTTTTTTCCTTCCTAGTGTCTTTCTTAAACTGATTCTGAGCATTTTTCAGACTTAGAGAAAACCTGCAACAACGGTACAGAGAACTCGTGTGCAGCACTTCTGTGTAGTCTCCCCATCCCGCCCCTGCTTCCGTACGCACACCCACTTTTTGTGACGCGTGTGTAACATCAGACAGCACTCAGTGTGTCCCGTAAGGACAGGGCATCCCTTCCATAATCCCAGTGCAGGTCCTAGGTTCAGATATGACACCCCTGTCTCTAAGCTACAATGCACATTCCACCTTTCCAACTTGTCCCAACAAAGTTGATGGCTCATCTTCCCCCAGGACAGGATCCAAGGCGGGATCACACATCGCCACGGGGCACGTGGGCCAGAACCAGGCTGAGGGACAGGAGGACCTAGGAGGGAGAGGCAGTGGAACCAGGGCGCACAGTTTCCTTTTGAACAATTGCCTGGTTAGAGTTAAATAAATAAAATCATAAATCCAAATCAGGAGAAAGATGCAATTAGAAACTCATTCTCCTGGGACACAGATAATTCACATGTCTGTGTTTTATTATTGAAACATCACCAAGAGCTGAGCCCCAGCCCAAAGATGATACTTATTCTTGAGCACGTTTTAGGGAGGTAATCATTTATGTGGGCTAAGGGGGCACCTGACTGCCCAGTCCTGGCACCAGGTGCCCACCCGTGGCAGCCACACAGGTTGCTGACTGGCTTTCTTTCTTTAATACCCACAACGGCACCTCGACCACCTCCTTCCAGCAGCTGCGGTGGGTTAGCGCTCAGAGAGCCGCTTGAAAACCGTAAACCATGACATAAGCTGGTAACACCCAGACACACACATCATGTAGAGTGCTTCACTCTTGGTGGCAGGATTATGGATAATTTTGTTTTATTCGTTAACTTCCCCTCCCCCAATTTTGACACTGATCATGCCTTACTCCCATAATTTGGCAAAGCATTGTTTTTAAAAAAGATTTTGATCCTGTCTCCAGTGAGCAAGCTACTGATTCAATATGAAGAGGGTGTTTCATAAAGTCTGCTGTGGTAACATTTGCCTTTAAATTTAAAAAAAAAACAGGCAGAAAAAAAAATCTAAGTGGATATTATGTGACTCTGGATGGGACCGAGAGGCCGAAAGAAGGAGGGGGCAGGAGGAGGAGGCTTTCTCTCTCCATCTGGCTCAGACAGGTCAGAATCCATCTCAGGGCAGGCCAGAATCCAGCTTCCTAACTCTGTGGACATACTATGATTTTCTTTTTACAAAGTCTGGGACATTATTCCTGGCCTCCCCATTAACATCGTAAACCCCTTGTCACGGACAAGGTTAAGTAAGTTAAATTCAACCCAATCCAGTTCATAAGAAGTGTACCCTGGCCCTAAAGGGTGCAGCAGAATCGGGGGAACACCCAGCTCAGTCCTGTTTCCTGCCCCAGACAGTGACCTGAGCTGCCACATCCTGCTCATCCCTGCCTGCCAGCCTCATTCTGGGGGGCTCTGGTCCCTGGGGAACCTGCTGGACTCAGGAGATCAAAACAGTAGCCACTGAGTAGGCCCAGAGGCCAGCAGGCCTTTGGCGAGAACACAGCCGGAAGTCTGCCAGCGGCGGCTCCCCACCTGCCCAGGATCCCACCAGTGCCTCCAGGACCCCCAGCGGGGCACCTCTTCCTGAAAGAGGTCTTAAGAGGCCTCTTGAGTGACCGGCCCTGGCTATGCCCACTACCGTTATATCCGGGTCAGGGCCAGGCAGTGGGTTTCATAGCTCATCCAGATGACCCCGTAAGAGGGGCTGTGGGGGCTGAGTGGCCAGGCCCCAGGGCTGTGCTAGGTTCTCTGAGGGGCCTGGGGTTGAGGTGCTCAGGGTCACCCAAGGCCCTGATGCTCTTTATCCTCATTGTCACATCTCAAATCTAGGCAGGGATGTCCACATGGTTAACATTTTATTTATTTTATTATTTTTTAGAGACGGGGTCTCGTTGCCCAGGCTGGAGTACAGTGGCTATTCACAGGTGTGATCCCACTACTGATCAGCACAGGAGTTTTGACCTGCTCCATTTTCAACCTGGGCCGGTTCACCCCTCCTTCGGCAACCTGGCGGACCCCCAATCCCGGGAGGTCACCATATTGATGCCAAACTTAGTGCGGACACCTGACTGGCATAGCGCACTACAGCCCAGAACTCCTGGGCTCAAGCGATCCTCCCACCTCAGCCTCCCGAGTAGCTGGGATTAACGGCACGTGCCACTGCACTCGGCAACATTTTATTAGATAGCATTGATATAAGTCACAGAAGAGGTGCCACACCTCTGCAGGTTGTGAATCCAACAAGTAAACCCCAAGAACCCACCCCACCCGATAGCCGGTGCCTTGTCAACTCCCCAGAAGGTGCCGGATCCCTTCTCCCCGACCCCTGTCAGGCTCAGGCTCACGGCACCTCTTCGCGTGCACTGCTTCCCAGGACTGCAGTTCCCTATGATGTGGAGTTTTCTCTAACGGACCCTAAGAATAACCTCTGAAATAGACCATGGGACAGAGGGCAGAAGCTGGGGAGTGAGGACACAGGCTGAGCCCCTCCCAACCCCCAGGGGACCTCAACCCATCAAGAGGAGATCCCTCTTCCCTCTTGCCCTCCCTCTTCTTCTCCCACCCAAAGGCCCCTGGCCAAGGTCTTGGGGATCCAGGGCAGACAGTCCCTGGGCCACAAAAAGCCAATGTCTGCAGTGCCTGTGTGCCTTGTTACAGCAGAGTGATGAGCAGAGTGCTCTGAGGCTCTGATTCTGCCTGAGACTCAAGAGGTGACGCTTCAGTGGGGTTTTAGAGGATGAGTAGGAGTTTGCCTACTCATGCTGGCAAAAGACTTGGTTCTCACACCCCCTCTGATGTGAAGCTTGGAGAGGGAACTCATGAGTTCAACCATCTCCTAAATACTTGGGCATCTGGTGAATCTGCACCCTAAACGGAGGCAAGGGCGTATGTGTGTGGGCCTGTATTTAAGCCAGAAGGTGACTGGCCCATT